AGCTTTTCTGACAGACTGCCATCGCAAAATTGCTATTTAGAGATGGAGTGTGTCTGCACGTGACAGGTGTAAAGGTAACCATGGAAATCAGACAGCGGGAGTGGAGAAAGATGTTTTTAGAAACCGTCTAATGAGGAAAGAGAACTATCATCAGTCCTGTCTCCCGACACACGCACACACTTTCTTTGCCTCTATTCTTTTTTTTCTACTAAATGGACACTGACAGGTAGATTGCATGTGTATTTGTGTGAATGTTGCTCAGTGCAATAATGATGACAATGCCATGTGTCATTATAGTTAGACACACGTGTACGTGTGTGTGTGTGTGTGTCCCATCGCCATGGACTAACCAGAGTTCATTATCTCTCCTCATCGGAGCTGCAAGACGTGGGCCAACTCAGTCTATAATGAAACAGCGAGGAGGGGATTTGCATAAAGGAGGTAAAGATATAGTTCAAAAAAATATAAAAATGATCCAAAATAATTTATAAAAATGGTCCTCTGATATAATGAGATTCCACAACTAATGACCACCATCCATACTGCACATTACATGCATGCATACTCACAGGATCTGTATCATCATCATCATCATCTGATGGCAGAAAGCCCAGATCTGGATCTCCACCACTGACAAGACTTTATTACAACATATCGGTTAGAATAATCTATTAACTTCATTGACTTGTCTATACCCTGACACACTGAGTCCTTTTACTTTGATTCATATGTAAAAATTCCCGATTAATCAGATGCATCTAATGTGTTTGGCCTCAGTTTGTCTTGGGATCAGCACTACAGAATTGGAGTGACAGCTTCAGTGAATCATCTGACTGTCAGCAAGGATACCCGATGTATAATGCAGCAGTACCGATGTTCACGAATCTTCATGTGTTCATGTGGCTAACACGAGCTGGCAACCTGAATGTGAGAAACGGGCAAAAAGCAACACAACGTGGTGGAAAGGACGACAAACAGCAACAAGTGAATCTGTGAGGCGTACATGTGAATCACTTTTCTCTCTCCGAGATAGGAAAGTAAAGGGTTTGTGTGGAGGGGACACGGACACACACACACAAATCAATTGCCATGGCAACAGCAGCAGCGCCATCCGGATGTGTGCCTTAAATAACCCTCGTCTATATAGCGCTGCAGGAATCAGTCCTAAAACTCACAAACGAGTCAGCATTTTTGCACTTCCTGTTCCCTCATCGTGAAGTCAATGAGTTTTTGGTTAGATCAAGAGATTTTAACCTTTTGTCTGGTGAATTTCTAAGATTTTACAGTTGCTAACAAGTGGGCGAAATGAGACTACCATCACAAGAACACGAGTCCACCTTTACAGCCTTGCTGTTTATACTCTAATGCGACTGTGGTGTAGTTCTTTTACAGCTCAACACTAACATTCAGCTGTAAAAGAACTACACCACAGTCGCAGTTCATTCTGATTGATGAAACTGCTATATTTAGACACATATTGTATGCTTCTGCTCGAAGGACAACGTGAGACAAAGCGGGAACAGAAGCGAGGGAGGAAGTGAGAGCGCGAAAGAGTCAGAGGAGACAGACCATCTGAAGTACAGGGTCGGCGTGTACAGCAGATGGTTGCCACCGGCGGTCCAGCGATGTGGCGGCATCTATTGCTCCCCTCACATCTGTCACAACGTCCCTCTGAGTGTGCGATCACTACAGACCTTTGTACGCTACGTGACTCTGCTTGAGTGCGAACGTCAGTTTGCTGTAAATCTCATCTCTGCCAGCATTCAGGGCAGCTGACCTCCAGGAACAACACGTCACATTATTGACCGGCGCGACAATTGTCATCGGTCAACTGCAACTATTTACAGCGATGTGAAATGTGGTGCGACATGCAGATGGTAAGATTAACGCAATGCCGTTAGTTTGGTTTTAATTTACAATGTTCGATGCAGGACTTATAGATCAGCGGTTCAAATGATGTAATCAGTTTTGGATTAGTGACGTAATCAATGTACGTACAAGGCTAAACAAAGCACAAGGTATGGAGTGTATATATGCATTTCATTATGGTATCAAGTGTTTTACTTTGAGGCATGTATAAGATAGAGAGATCTACTAGAATAAAGTCTTAGGCCCTGTTTACATCTGGCATCTCCATGCATCCTGGGTGATCAGTTCACACCTGAGTGCGTCTCCACATTTATCTCGAGGGACGAGCACTTCTAGTTAAGAAGAGAAAAGAAGACATTTTGGTTGCATTTGATCGCTGCGATCATGATACAAAAACACAAAAAGGTATTTTGTAAACTTGAGAATTGATCGATCCACACTTCTTCAAAGTGTTAAGAGAAGAGACAGTGCAGTACTCCTCCGTCCTCTATCTGCTGTGTTCTCTCATCAGGGAGCCCTTTTTTCCATGATGTTGCTCCACATCTGCTTCTGATCATGAAAAGTAATGCAATATTTATCCAACGTAACATCTGACTGTCATTATTAAAACAAATAAAATATGGAGCTGAGTTAAAGGCCAAATCCCCAGATCGGAGTCTATCAGCTTTACGCAGCAGAACACAAAATACGGGTCTGAGTTGACACACAAAACAAACTGTTGAGAGCTTGAGAGGAAACGCTGGGGCGGCTCTGAGATCTTAACCTCTGCACTGTGAGCTCAGTCATCAAGAGCGACTCTTCATTAAACGTAAACAAGGGAATAAATCGGAATTTAAAATTCTGTTGCTCTGCCATCGCAGCCCAAATCATGGGAATGGAACATTTTGACCGACGCAGGCTGGCAGTCGGAGACGGGAAAACCAGAAGTGCTGGCTAGAGGTGGAGGTCCTGTAACCTGAACGTCACATGTTTGATCTCCATGACAAGGGTTAGGGTTAGAGGAGAAAGGCTGCTCAGCCTGTATTATCGCTGTATTTTTCTTACTGAAATATATACTGTATATGAAAACACTAAATCCAACAATGTGACTGTCTGTGGCTCCCTGAGACCCAATCATTGCTGCTTGCACTGCAGTTCAATCTGGGTCAAATGTAAAATCAGAGCTAAAATTATTCTATAATAATAAAAAAAAGACATGCGCTCCTCTATCTGCCTCGCACACATACACACAGATGTTGTTTATATTTAAGGAAAGCCCTCCTCCTGTCTTTCCCAGAATCCCTTGTTGTTTCTCCCAGCATGCTTGCAGGTTGCAGGAAGAAGGAGGAGGAGCCAAAATGTCAGAGGTCACCTGACAGAAATGTTTGATCTGTCTTTTTCCTCTCTGCACGTCATCGACCACCTCTCAACCACCTCTCAACCCCCCCCCCCCCTTCTCCCCAGTATACATTCACTCAGTGATCAAGTTTGGGATGGAGGGATGTGTACGTGCACTTTAACACGCTTCCTCTGCTCTCTGGGGTCATGAATCAAAAAAAGTCCAGACTTTTCCCATTTGATAAGATCACAATGACAAGAAGCGAAAAACAGAATCCGCTCACTGTTTTCTGCTCTGGTTTTATGCAACGAAAGGTTTCAGCTCCTCCATAAGAGAATTCTTCTGACGTCAAACAACTGACAAAGGACATTTCTTTATATTTTTAAATTAAATTGCCTTTAAAACTTTTTCAAGATATGGTCACACTGAAGAGTTCACAATATGTCTTCAATATGAGCGATTATATGTCAATAATACGATGCTTCATTTATTGCTGATGAAAATTCTCCTGCCGTCCTCAATGAAGGAGGTCAGAGGACAAAGCTGTCCGTCTCAAAAAGTGAAACCTCCTTAATCTATTTCCTTACAATCCTGCAGATTGTACCTTGATTTCATGTTGTCTCAGGTCGAGTTATTCGTCCACGTTAAATAAATCTATAGCTCCATCTAGTGGACCATATTGTGTAAGACAGGTACACCTGTACACATGTAAGTCTGTGTCCGGGCTGATAGATCCTGCTAAGAAGCCTGCATACTCCGACAGTCCTCTTCGGCTTTTGATATTGAAACCCAATCTCAGATTCCTGGTATCATTGTACCTAACAGCTGCAGGGATGACAGCATGGAGGAGAATGTCACAGTACCAGCAGCCTTAAATGGAGCCACTAGTGTGGCGTGAGTCCTCCAAATGACTCTGATATCCATTTAGCAACCTGTTCACTGACACATGCTTGTTAGCGGCGGTTATGTGTTTCCTTTGCCTTTAAAATGACTCAATATCTGTTCCAGGAAGTTTTAGAGAACATCTGTGTTTGCCAAGCAACTGTCACAAAGGGATTAAAGCTATGTGACCTACAGAGAAGGTCACATAGCTCTGACGACACTTTGCAGTGTGTGTCAGTGGCTTTGGGGGTCCGAAATGCTCCACTTGAAGAGATAGCTTCGAGAGCTATTGTCTGAGAATGCAGGCGACGCGTGTCAACACAGCATTCAAATCTGCCACGGTGGGATACCGTTGTTAAATACTTGAAAATACAAAACTATGTTTTACAAGACTTGTCCATCGATCCTTCATCTCGTATACATCGTTACACATACACAACAATTAAAGTAATACATGCATTTCCTTATCAGTGTCCCATACATCACTGAGAACAGCCTCAGCCTACACCGTTTTCTTTGTCACGCAGTTTAAAAGCATTTAGTAGATACTGTTGTTTCTGCCCGTTCTATAGCTCACTGCTCTATATAAATCATTTACTAATACTGATGCGACTCCAGTTTGACCTTATTTATGGGTCAGCGTGACTCATGACTCAAGGAGCTACAGCAGGTGGGGTGTCCTTTCTCTTCGGAGGTTTAACTCTGCATGTCTGTGGAGCTGGGTGATCCACAGCAGAGCTCGGCCTCCCCTCTATCTTTAGTGAGCCACGGTCTGTGAATGGGGGGGCCTAACTTTATCTGGACCTCTGTCATTGAAGCTGCTGGTATTTTTAGGTGGTGGCAGCAGCTGCGAAAGCATTTAATGCCGCCGCCCCCCCCCACACCCCCCCATTCCAACTCTCTCTCTCACTCTTTAGCCGTTGGACAATGACACTATCAGAGCTGACGCATAAACCAGGCGCTCGGGTGAAACGCTGTGGCCATTTCCCTCTCTGCCACCTGCAACCTCACGCCAAACCGAGGGGACGCAACCAAGACCTGGTACCTGCGAATATGGGCCGCCAAGTGTGAACGGAGGATTGACTTTTTCTCACTTGCTATGACTCTCAGCGAAGAGGAGGTTTGCCAAATGTGAGCCAGAATCTACAAACAACAAAGCAGAGAGACAAAGAACCAGAGCTGAGGAGACTCACGGAGCAACAGAATATCTGCCAACTCTACCACTCAAATTGAAGGGACATCAATGAACGTTTTGAGGACATAAACCTCACATCCGTGACAGAATGCTTTAAAGACAGTGACTCATATCGCGGTAAGTTTATCATGTGACTGCTTAAGAAGAATGATTTCTACCCATGTGCCAACACAATGCTCAATGAGTAGCTGAGCCTCTTTCGTGTGTTCACTGATCATAACACTTTAGAAATAGCCGACATGCTACCCGGAGAGCTATTTTCCAGCCAAGACACGAGCGTAACTACATGATCCATGCTGTGCAGAGGACACGCATCAGATGTGAGTGCGGTGCGTCATGGGGCCGGGACGGTTTATGCCAAAAGAAAGATGGTGACAACAAGAGGGAAAGAAATGAGCCACATGAGAGAGATGACGTTCTCCACTGGCTGCTTCAGGATCAAACCATAAGCTGTCAGGAAAGAGGAAGTTAGCTTAAAGAAGCCAATGACTTATTCAAAATAGCAACAATGCAACGAGACAAAGACAATCCATCAGGAAGGATACAGCTGGCATTCATGCTCCATACATACATCAGCTAGTCAGTTTTGTCTTCTTTAGTGGCTGCAGACTGTTCAGTTTACCTGCTATGTGGCACACAGTCTCTGGTCTTTTTTTGGACAGACTACTTTATAAATACACTCTTCAGTGAGTTACAGCACCAGCTGAGAGACGACCAAGAGCGGTTTACGATTGCTCAGAACCTACTTTACTAAACCACCAAGCATGTGATAAACACCTCACTGAACATGTTCAGCTAAGCCTTCATGACTTGTACAATGTATGTTATATGAAACATTGTAGAACACTCCTGCATCGAATCATCTCGATCCGATTCCTGCCCATAAAATATCTCCCATTTGAGGTCAGGTGTAAACAGGCCAATGTGTCACTAGTGTTTAGATCGTGACTTTGGGTGTGAGCTGCCATTAAAGTCGAACGCCTAATAAAATATGCATCATCTTTATCTTACAGCTCCTTCACCAGAGATAAGAGGCTCTTACTGAGGCGATCCCGCAACAAAAGAAACTCATTCAAACCACAGAGAGGGTGACTTCGTCATGGATATTTTTGGAGGTGCTCCTCGTGTTTTGGGCTACCCACGCCCTGTGGTGGCACATTGTGGCTCAGACACCACACTGAGGTGCCAAATTGGTGGGGACCCTCGTCCCGATGTGATCTGGGAGCGTAAAAACATCCAGATTGTGTCTGATGGACACTGCAAGCTCTCCGAGGATGGAAAAGCGTACCTGCTGACCATTACTGGAGTAACTCTGCAGGATGCTGGCCAGTACATTTGCAAGGCCAAAAATAGCATAGGTGAAACTTATGCTGCAGCCTCACTCAAAGTGGAAGGAGAGGCCCAGCCACAGGAAGGGGGGCAAACGCAATTAGGAGTCAATGGTATGCAGCAACCACTGAGAGAAAATGGAGAATTTGAAGGACACCAGAATGGCTACTGCACAGGGGAAAATGGTGAACACAAGAAAGAAAATGGAGAGGAGCTGAAGTTAAGTGAAAAACGAGAGGAGGTTGATTTAGTGTCTGATGACAAACCTCGATTCCTCATCAAGCCCCTCTCTTTGCGCGTGGATCGGGGAGAAGATGCTGCCTTCTCCTGCAAAATCTGGGGCACTCTGCCTGAGGTGACGTGGGAGAAAGACGGGAAGAAGCTCAGTGACATCTTCGAGAGTGCACACTTCAGCGTCAGCAATCAAGATGGCGGCTGGTTCCAGCTCAAGATCTACAGGACGCGCATGCCAGACAAAGGTGTCTACACCTGCAGGGCCGTCAACAGCCACGGCCAGGCCTTGGCTGGCGCCGTCCTTCTTGTCGAGCCCGTACCGGAACGAGAGGAGGGTAAAATGTCCTCAAACGGTCACGCTAACAGTCAGTGGTCGCTGAAGCACAGGGGCGGGAGGCTCAGTTTGTTGAGGGTCATAGAGGAGCCGCCTGTCAGAGCCTCTAAAGCCAAGAAGTTTGCAGTGGCCGAGGGGAAGCACGCCAAGTTCCGCTGCTTTGTGACAGGGAAGCCCAAGCCAGAGATCATTTGGAAGAAAGACGGGGTTCCCCTAGAACCCGGGAGACGTCATCTGATATTTGAGGACCGAGAGGGTTACTACACGCTGAAGGTTCTGTACTGTAAAGTGCAAGATACGGGACTGTATGTGTGTGCAGCATCAAACGCTCTTGGAAACACCCTCAGTGCTGTTCACCTGTCCGTCAAAGGTAGGAGACAGCTTTCTGCTTTTCCTGCAGAATCGTTGTGTCACTGATGCATCCAACCTCAAGCTGCGCTTGTGCGCGCTAATTGCTTGTGTGCATTGTTGAAATGCATGGCATCGCCCTTTAAAGTGGCTAACTATTTTGTCCTAATCCCTTCATAACGGGCACATAATTGTCAGGGTCAGATGCCTTTTCATATGTTCAGTCCTGCACTGTGCCAGCTGCCCCTGTCATTAAGTGTCAGTTTCGTCTTGGGGTCAACATTTCAGTCCCTTAATGTACAGATAATATAGAGTGGCATTACAGCAATGGAGCACGGCTTACAAAGTATTGAGTGGTGGTACTATTACTACAACTATCCTTAATCTGCAAATCATCCACTATTCTTAAATTAACACATCTACACTTACCCGTTTCCGTTGTTCTTCAGGCCCAGCGGTGCGCTTCAGGCGTCCATTAAAAGATGTAGAGGTGAGGGAGAGGGACGTCGCCGTGCTGGAGTGTGAGGTGCCCGATGAATCGCTCCCATCTGCCTGGTACCTGGAGGACCAGCGGCTGATGCCCAGCAGTAAATACGGGATGGAGCAGAAAGGAGCCACACGGACACTGACCGTCCATGATGTTGGGACGGACGACGATGGAGTGTATCTCTGCGAGATGCCAGATGGAGCAAAGAGCATTGCAGAGCTGTCAGTTAAAGGTATGTTGTACTGACAGGGTAACACTTTACATTTTTAGCAAAAGAAAATTGTTGCACAATACAAATGAGCGTAAATAAAATCATTTTCTACTTTCAGGGACTATTGTTCGTAAACTTCAGCGGAAGTTGGAGGTCCTGGAGGGTGAGAACGCGACGTTCTGTGTGGAGGTGGACAGCGACGACATGGAGATCCACTGGTTCAAAGACGGTTTGAAGCTGCACGAGTCTCATCACACGATCCTCAAGTCTTTCGGCAAAACTCACATTCTGGTTTTTGTCAACGTGGCCTATCAAGACTCGGGGGTAGTCACCTTTGTCGCAGGAAGTTCCAAGACCTCATCGCGTCTCAAAGTCAAAGGTACATTAAGGAAACGCTAACGTACATGTTTGTTTTAACTGTTTTCCAGTTCTTTAAATTGTAACACTTATTCTGCTGATTTTCATACTCATATTCTTTGTCTTTTCCCACTTTTAGCCACAAGACATTGCCCTCCTATCTGCCCTGTGGAAGTGAAAATGGATGTGGACCGACCCAACAGCACCCTGCTCACCTGGGTTCCTGCCCCCAACAGCCAGACCTCCACCCGATCCATCTTTGTCGTGGAGAGACAGGAAGTGGGCTCCCAAGAGTGGCAGAAGTGTTTCACCTCAGACGACACCACCTCAGCCGAGATCACCAGCGACAGCGTGCCGTGCGAAGGCGACTACCGGTTCCGTGTCTGTTGCATCAATAAGTATGGGCGAAGCGGCCATGTGGAGTTTCCCAAAGCTGTCCACCTGGGTGAGGAACTTCCTGCAGAGTAGAATTGTACATGTTAGATGGCAGACTGCCTTTAAGTAGACTAACTTTGTATCGTAATGAGTGGAAATCAATCGCTACCAGGAAGGTGAAACTGCTTTAAAAATGGACAGCAATGAAAAACTTTTTTGTGATTCTAATTTTTCCATCTTCCTTAGTTCCTGGACCAAAGATCTGCTGCAGGCTCAAAGGCTGTGAGGTTGTGGAAGGAGAAGACGCTCCCTTCTCCATCGAATTGTCCGTCCCGATGGTTGGAACCTGGTTTCTGAACAGCACTCAACTGCAGCACGGCGGACGATACTCAATACAACAGTCCCAAACACAGCACTCACTGGTTATCCGTGAAACTAGCACAACAGAGGACACAGCAGAAGTCACGTTCATAGCCAATGGAGTCAGGGATTCAGCTGTGCTCGAGGTTAAACGTAGGTGTAGCGATCCGCTTTTCCTTTTATTCAGCATGTGATGGATGCATTTCTTTGGAGTTCATTTGTTGTGTATATTTCTTTGCAGCTGCGGTGATGAAATTCAGTCCTCTGTCAGACTTCGACAGCAACAAGAGGGTGGACATTAGTGACCCCATTGTTCTCTACTGCGAAGTCTCCCACCCCCTCGCTAAAGTAACCTGGTTCAAAGATGGCATTGAGCTGCAGGTGACCGATGGCCTCAACATCCAGTCAGATGGGAACATGAGGAGGATTGTGATTCAATCAGCTGATGCATCTCACTCTGGAGTTTATTCATGTGAAAGTTCAGGAGATGTCATCAAATTCAACGTGGACGTTGCAGGTAAAAGGTTTTTGAAAAGTTGATAAATATCAGGTCTTATTATACAAGTACTCTGTACTCATTCATAGTTTTTATTATGAATTAAGAGCTTTTTTATCTTTAGAAATGTTATTGTGACCTTCGGCTCTAGTTAATCTTTGGTTTAACCAAATTGTAGTTTGATTATTTCTCATTTTAAGGCGGCATCTCCGGTACCTTGTCAGCTGTTGATCCGTCCCTCGCTCCTCCTGTTGTTTTTCAGGTCGCGCGGTGGAGTTCAAGCCGGTCTCAGAGGAGGAGCTCCATAAGAGCGGCATGGAGCTGGACCCCGTGGTGCTGCTCTGCCATGTCTCCACAGACGATGCCGAAGTTGTGTGGTAAGACGACGAGGAGCTAATTCCTGTCAGAAAAATTTAATTGAAAATGATCCACTGAGGCTTCTATTTTTTATCTTTGATCACATAAATGTATCTATACTTTGATAGTCAGCTTTAAATTATCCAGTTTATTATTTGAAACCCCATGTGTGATTCGGTGTGTCTCAGGTATAAGGACGGCTGTGAGATCCAGCCCACTGACAACATCACGCTGCAGGCAGAGGGAAGCCTGAGGAGGCTGATCATCCGCTCTGCTGACACCTCAGATGCTGGCAGCTACACTTGCCAGGCAGGAAACAATAGCATGGAGTTCACCGTCAATGTCAGAGGTATAGATACCCGTCTGACATCTGTTGAGTAGCGTTTCAAGACACATTGATTTGCTAGTGCAAGTGCAGAACATCTCTCTTAATGCCTTTTTACACAGACTTAAGCCACATTAGATATGTGATTTGCCGTTACTGTGCTTCCTCTAACGACAAACACAGAGCCTCCAGTGATGATTGTGGAACCTAAGGATGATATTGTGATGGAGAGCTATATCTCAGAGGAGATCCACCTGCAGTGCGAGTTGTCTCGTTCCATTGGGAAGGTGCGGTGGTTGAAGGAAGGCCAGGAGGTGGAGGAAGGGGACAACATCCAGCTGATATGTGAGGGTCCTTACAGGAGGCTGACCATCCTCAGCGGCTCGGTGGAGGACGGTGGAGAGTATGTCTGTGAAACAGATGGAGACTCTGTCTTTTTCCAGCTTAGTGTCAAGGGTGAGACTGAAATTTCCTGAGTGCCCACTTCTGATTGTACCATACATCTAATACAAATGTGTGGAGGTGTTTAACTGTCGTCCTCCTGCACCAGAGCCGCTGGTAAGAATCGTTTCCCCCAGTGAATCAGAGCTGGAACTGACTCATTTGGCCTCCGAGAGGCTGGAGCTCACCTGTGAGATCTCCCAGGCGGACGCCCCAGTCTGGTGGTACAGAGACGGCCTGGAGGTCGAGGAGAGTCAGAACTTGATCCTGGAGGTGGATGGGGCCCGACGCCGGCTGATTATACCCATAACCACTGTGGACGACACAGGGGAGTATGTATGTGACACTGAAAATGACTCTGTGGCCTTCCTGGTCACTATTGCAGGTAAGAATGAGCACATTAGGACAGATCTAAGACTTTGTAATAGTATTTTTATCTTTTATGATTCTTTCCTCTTCAATGACTTTATTCCTTTTCATTTAGAGCCACTAGTGACGCTTACTCGTCCCAAAAACACGCCGGACACACTGGAGAGTTTTCCCGGCGAACCGATCGTGCTGGAGATCGAAGTGTCCCGGTTCAGCGCTGAAGTCGTGTGGTGGCTGAATGGCAGAGAAGTAGAGGAGAGCAGTAACGTCTCCATCACAGAGGACGGGCTCGTCCATCGTCTGACCATCCACTGTCCCACCCCAGAGGATTCTGGGAAATACACCTGTGACGCTGTTGATGACAAAATTGATTTCCAGGTCAAAGTTTCAGGTAATGTCAGCGCTGGAGACGCTTTCCGTAACAAAATGCAATTTTCAAGACCACCATGATGTTATAATGACCGTCAATGTGTAATTCTGCATCATCAGAGCCTCCTGTGAAGATCCTGAGAAAGACAGAGATTAAGACACATCTTAAATCCATGATTTCTGATGAGATCGTGCTGGAGTGTGAGCTCTCCAGAGCCGATGCCGTCACCAAATGGTACAAAGGTAACTGTCGCGTTGGGGGCGATGAAAGGTTCTGCGAAGAGGAAGAAGGTGCTTTCCGCTCATTGGTCATCCTAAACGCTGAACTCGGAGACTCAGGAGAGTACTTCCTGGATGCTGGAGACGACAATATCAGCTTCCAGGTTACGGTACAAGGTAGAGTTACATTCGTGAATTTTTACGAATTAAATGATTTTGTTTTAAAACTGTTCCTCAAATGAATCATCTGTCTTTTTCCCCTTTGCCTTAGAGCCTCCAGTGACAATTTTGGGCAACTCAAATGACCCTGACTCCCAGGAGATGGTGGCAGGGGACGACCTGATCCTGGCCTGTGAAGTGTCCCGTGCCAACGCCCCCGTTCAGTGGTACTGCAATGACAAGCTGCTCACCAGTGACCCCCGGACCTACATTGAGAGCTCCGGCACGCTGAGGAAAATGATCATCTCAAATGTCCAGGCCTCAGATTCTGGGAAGTACGTGTGTGATGCTGCGGACGAGAAGATGATCAGCGTTGTCAGGATTCAAGGTGAAAACTCACACTGATGTCTCCGGAGATATGATTATCAATATGATCATCTAATGTCTTTCTCTCTTTCCTCTTCCATCGAAGAGCCCGCAGTAACGTTCGTAAACAAGGAGGATGACATTGTCGTGACAGGGTATGAAGCAGAGAGCGTAACATTGACGAGCTACGTGTCCAAGGAAAGCGCTCTTGTGCGTTGGATGAAAGACTGGACGCCTGTGGAAGGCGAACGTTCCCGAGCACTCACGGAGGGCCATAAACGCACCCTTACCATCGAGCCTTTGAGGCGCTCTGATGCTGGAGAGTACACCTGCGATGCCAACACGGACCAGATCCACTTCAGCTTGCTGGTGAAAGGTTCAAATCTCCTATTTTCATCCGATAAAATGATAAAACATAATTATTTTGGACTGAAAAGCGATTTTAGCTTTGATTTTCTTTGTATCACAGAAATGAGAATCAAGTTTGTGAGGCCACTCCGAGACACGGTGGCTCACGCTGACGGTATGGTGACCCTTCACTGTGAGGTTTGCAAGCCTAAAGCAGACGTCCAGTGGCTGAGGAATGGCGTGGAGTTGGTGGCGAGCAGGAGGATCACCATTCGGGCGGACGGTCTGGAGCGAAGCTTGACCCTCCACCGTTTAACCAGAGAGGATGCTGGGGAGTACGTCTGTGAGTCCAGAGATGACCGGACCGTGGCGGCGCTGAGAGTAGAGTGTAAGTATGCCTGTGCTCAGATGTTCTGTCTTTTCTTACATGAGGTAGCAGGTTCATGAACTTTCTTGTGTCTCTTCAGTGCCTCGGGTGGTGGAGTTCCTCACAGAGCTCCACAACACCACTGTGCTTGAAGGAGAAGACGCCACCTTCAAGTGTGTGGTTTCCCCTGAGGATGTCCAGCTGGTCTGGCTCATGGACAACGAGGCCATCACTCTTGGTGATCGTTTCTGGCCAAATCAGAACGGCCTGTGCCACACTTTGGTTATCAAGAAATGCCAGATGTTGGACTGTTCGAAGATTACGGCAGAGGCCGAGGGACAGATCAGCAAAGCCAGCCTCAAAGTTCAGGGTAAGGCCATTTAATGAAAAGAAAGGAGAGGTTGTATTACCAGAACTGACAGCAGTTCATTGTAATTTGTACTTCTGTCTCTCCTCCCTTATATTCAGAGGCTCAGGTCATGTTTACTAAGAAAATGGAGGCCGTCATGGCGGAAGAGTTTGGCGACGCCACCCTGGAGACAGAGATCGGCCTTGAGATGGGAGAGGTCCAGTGGATGAGGCAAGGGGTGGTCATCCAGCCCGGTCCCCGACACACGCTGGCCCAGAACGGCTGTAAACGCAGTCTGATCATCCAAAACCTGACTCTGTCAGACCGGGGAACCTATCGCTGCGAGACTCTGCACGACCGGACGCAGGTCAAGCTCAATGTAGAACGTAAGATGTGGATGTTTGATGAATTACCTTCATGATTTATCAATTAAAATTATAATAAGCAGGGTTAGGGTTAATTTTATAATGTATGGATATCATTTATATAACATTCCTCTCCCTCATCTCCTACAATCCAGCTCGTAAAATCTCCATCCGTAAAGGCCTGACTGACCAAGAAACCGTTGAACGTGAGACCGCCTCCTTCGAGGTGGAGCTCTCCCACACGGATGTGGAGGGAATCTGGCAGAAGGACGGCATCCGGGTGAAACCGAACAACCAGTGGCGGGTGAGCACCAACGGGCTGGTCCACGGCCTCACCCTGTCCAACCTCACCCTCGAGGACACGGGCACCATCGTCTTCTCCGCTGAAGGGGTGCGCACCGCTGCCAGGCTCACTGTCAAAGGTAAATACAGGCCTGTGGACTCCCTAAATAAGTGTTGGTCGCCTTTGATTCATTTATTGGATTTGTTAAACCGACAGAGACTCCGGTGTCTATCCTGAGGACGCTAGCCGACGTCCGTGTGGAGGAGGAATTTCCAACCACTCTGGAGTGTGAATTCTCCAGACAGAACATCGAAGTCAAATGGCAAAAGGTAAAACAAGCCTTGACTATGTTTTGGCTCACTGTAGAAAATTGCAGGGTGTGAGAAATACCTCTGTTCCTTTGCTTCCGCCAATCAGAACGGGACGGAGCTGAAGCCGGGGCAGAACTGTCGGATCTACTCCATGGGCCGCAAGCGGTTCTGTCAGATCATGCAGTGCTGCCGGGCGGACTCTGGTACCTACACATGTGACACAGGGGATATCAACACTTCCTGTTCACTGGAGGTTTATGGTAAGTATCTGCTGCTACAACACACATCACGTTAACTCTAAGTTATACGTTGTGTGTGCAAACACTTTGCAATGAGAAAGATGCTCGTTATGTTTTTGCTGATCTAAATCTCTTTACTAACCTCCCAGAGCATAAATTGGAGATAGTGCACAACCTGGAGGACCTTTACATTCAGGAGGACCAGAACGCCGTCTTCATGTGTGAGGTTTCTCTGGAGAACGTTCCTGGGGAGTGGTACAAAGACGGCCACAAGATCCGGCCCACTGGCGCCATCAAGATCCGCACTGAAGGTCAGAAAAGGAGGGTGTTGATTATTGATGGGACTGAATGATTCTGTTAACCGCTTCAATGTAGATTCTACAAGTCTGTTGTTCTCCTTCAGGGACCAAACACTTCCTACTGATGTGTAACGTCGATGCTGAGGATGCTGGGGAGATCCGCTTTGTAGCCAAGGATGTTGAATCTACAGCTTCCTTAGAAATAGAAGGTACGTCCATTTTTACCTGGAGCATATCCTTTTTTTAGGATGCTAACAGCTGGAAAATGTTCCATACTAAATCTTAAAAACATTTCCTTTTACTTCAGAACTCCCTGTTTCTATTGTAAAACCCCTGCGAGATCGGACAGCCCTGGAGAAACACCGCGTGATCCTCGAATGCACCGTTTCCACGCCTCGCTCCAGCGCCGTCTGGTACAAGGGCAGCGAGGAGCTGGTTCCCTCAGATCGGGTGGAGATCCTGGCCGACGGATGCTCCCACAAACTGGTGATCCAGCAGGTGGCTGTGGAGGATGAGGACACCTACAGCATCGAGATCGGGGAGCACACATCCAAAGCCAAACTGATGGTGGAAGGTACGTTGGGTTGGGAGCGAAGGAGCTTTAAATTAAAGGTGAATTAAGTAGTTTTGCACAACCTTTACAGCTCCAGCTTACATATGTACCAAGAATGTTTAAGGGTGATGGGTGTGCAGCAATACTAATGTGTTATAATAAGGTAAAATGTACTTCTCTCTTCTGTACCTTACCATGATAACACTTGTTTCCCTCTGTGCAGCCCAAGCTCTCGTCATGGTCACAGAGCTCGAGGACGTGGAGGTAACCGAGCCTGAGCCTGCATCCTTCCAGTGCGAGGTGTCCGTCGCCATAAACAGGCCCCCTCTTTGGACTCTGAACGGGGAGACCCTTCAGCACGGCCCCTCTGTCCACCTGGAAAACCACGGGACGGTCCACAAACTCACTCTGAAACACACCAGCGCCGACATGAGCGGGGTGGTGAAGTTCACCACAGGCAAGGCCAAGAGCAGTGCCACGCTCAGCGTCACGGAGACTTAGAGGAAGAGAGAGAAAGTGAGTCTGAGACAAAGAAAGAAACTGAAACTTTTCAACATCCATTTGTCATGTTTGGATAACCTGCATTAGCCCTGTTCTGATTTTCTTTCAAATTGAGGGGATTCAGTGACGCCAAGTTATTCCTTTTTTTACTGTGTAGTCTATATTTATTTGCCTGATTTCTAATTGACTTTATATTCTTGTATTCTGATGAAAATTACCCAAAATAAAACAATAATTATATGGTATCAACTACATGTCATTTATGTTCTCTGAATAGACACAAACTATTTGGTAACATCAAACATATCAATGCTAAATAAACTGTGATATTTTTGCATTATAATGTAACGTTAAAATTGCATTCAGCTGCATTTGTTAATTATTAAATTATTGAGCTTCAACCACTCATAAATGCCATATCTAAATAATAATAATGTTTTACTAATATCTAATTGGTAAATAGATAAGGGAGAGGAAATATGCCCCCCAAAATTACTAAAAACTCATTTAATTTACGCTGTGTGAGCTAAGACGCACAATAAGCTTAATTCTCCTAAAAAATAATTAACCAAATGCATACTATAGGAACAGTAATTGAAATATGCAATAAATATGATCTATAATCGGTGTATTTGATGATATTGGACGTACATTTATCAGGTGTCCAGATGCACGACTCCACATGTTGCTCCGTGTTTGCTGGCTGCGGCTCGTAGGCACCTGTTAGCCACCTGGTGGCTAATTAACGGTAATTAGAGCAGACGATATCGTGTTCACGGCCTATGCTGCCCCCTGGTGGCCAAACACAGTAGTTCACTAATTGACGTTACTCTATAAAGTAATGTTTTGATATCATAATAAGCATAGCGTTCATTAGCATGGTTGTTAATTCAAATATAAGGAATTAGTGGATAAAACGTATTACCATAAACAATAAACAGCACTTGGACCATCTTTCATTTAGCATTTATGGGGGAAAAAACATTATTACATACAGTCCATATATCATTTGGTATGATAAAACAGGTCAAAAATTAGGTTACATCTGTTCAATCATGAGTACAGTAACATGAATATTCCATATATTAATGAATGACTGATAAAATGACTTAACGTTCCTATAAATACTCCTGTTTGCCGAAGAATTCCAAAACAACAGTTATCGGCACTGAACCTAGATGAGACGTGTGATGATGGCTTACATGAAACACACCAAAAGAATTACCCTGTTACGTGTCTACAACAGTATGATACTACCCTTTTAGTAATTTGCTGGTGCTTCTGGTCCATATATTGCCTATTAATATACGAGGTAAACAACCAGGTCTTACATGAAAACAAAACTAACTGTGAATATTGTATCAGAGTCGCACTCCTGGGCAAAAAAAAAACACTCACTTAGAAAAGAAACAGGCTAATTTGATTGCCAATAATTTGTTAAAACATAGAAAAATAATGCAATCGCTCTTAATATGTCGGGTTTAATTGTCGTCCCTGCCTCATCTCGGTAAAGTCATATCACAAGCCTGCTATGGAGGCTCTAAGTCAAACCCACGGTTTCATTCTTCAGTCAACACATGGTATTGTCAACGCATACGAGGGAGATAACAAGAGGCCTGCTACATCACCACGTAGAGCTAAAAGGAGCAATACACAGTCAATGTGTGAGTTTGTAAAGGAAAATTCCACCTTAAAAATCATCTTTCTTTGAATGAATAATAGCAAATTCAGTAGCAGTACTGTGACTATCTCTTCATCTTGTGACTTAATTCTGTTGTGAAATAGCAACTACACGAAAGGAAACCCGACATGTTTAATATATATTAAACTCCAACGTAGCTGCACTAGAATGATCTCGGCATTACGTCACCATTAACAAAATAAATCTCCACTCGCTGTTTCAGGGTGGATTCCTCCTTTAAATCTCACTTTCTGCTCACCAGACACCTCCTCGAGTCCTCGTGGCAGCTCCCCGTCCTCCACACACGTTTGATTACAAAGTCCTGAACTTGTTTCCAGCCTATGTGTACCGCTTAGGAAAAAAGAAAGAATACGCTGAAGCTTATGAGAACCAAACTGACAAACCAAGCTGTGACCATCACACAACTTTCAACAGAATTCAAGTTGTGTGTGTGTGGCTTTAAAACGGAGGACCAGAAGCCACCAGAGGAGTCCATCCTGGTCCTCGAAACGCTCACGACGGTACACGAGTGCAGACGCGGTGCGTGCTGGCTGTCCATCAATCTTTACACCACCGTCCAATAAACAGCTGCTCTCTCACCGTCACGTGCAGATGGTTTGATATTCATATTAGTGTCTTACTTGGCTCATTGCTTTGGGTTATATTTACTCATTTTAAAAGGGATTGGAGTTGTGTACATAGATTTTTCCCACAGTTCAAAAAGTTGCTGCAAAAGGACATTTTGTCCATTTTAAAGCCAACAATCCTAAATAATGATCAAATGCTGCTTTTGTAAGTTTGAAAATTGTGCTAAAAACAATGTTCTGCATCACAGTGAAAGGGAGGACTACAGACTGTACTTGATCAGATTCATCCACAACTCTCCCAATTATTCAGAATTACCTGATCAAATCGCTGTAAAAACTGATAATTGACTGAATTTGTGACAAAGATGTTTAAAAGACATCTACAGTACGTATACACCATCTGCTCTTTCGATAACGAGGCTGACGAAGTCCATTTGCACGTCAATCTTTTCTGCATCTTGTGCAGAATCAGACTGATGAATCCATGAGAAGTACCCAGTCTGTGTCCAGAGGGTTCACGGCGACAGACGTCTTCTGCAAGCTCAGTGACGCCGCAGAAACGTCCTTTAACCATCCTTTAACCATCCATCCATCCCACATCGAGCTGACGTGGAGAAAAGTTACAAATATCAGGGAGTTTTCTTTTTGACCAGTAGGTGGCAGTGATGAGGCCACTTAAAGTCAGAGCAGTGAGAGCTGGAGCCTGGAGCCTCTCTGGTGTGGGTAAATCCGTGTTGTACGCCGTTTTGTGCAGAACACCGTTAGCTAGCGGCCCCTTGGTGCTTGAGGACCGTGTAGACGTTGTCCACTTTGCTCAGCCTCTCGAAGAAGGGGATGAGGTCCAGCAGCTCGGTGTCTGACATGTCGTCGAACCACGAGGCCACGGGCACCTGGATGGAGATGCAAATTATCAGCGAGCACACGTGGGAGTTACTAGCACCGCCGCCATGACTCGGGCGCTGCGTGTTCTACTCACTGCGTTGTCGGGGTGGAAGATGTAGGAGGCGGGGGAGTTGTCCACGATGATGACTTTGTTCAGGTCCCGACCCAGGCGGCTCAGGTCCTTGACGTAGTTGCCTCGGTAGAAGACGCAGGACTCCCGGAACAGGCGGGAGCGGAAAGCGCCCCACTTGTCCAGGAGATCGGAGACGGGGTCCGCATACTGCAGCAATAACAAGAGAAATGAGTCGTAAGCATGTGTTTGCAGTAGTTTACTGTGAGCAGCAGCTGGTTTCCTCACCTTGGCTAAACTGGCAGTGAACAGGACGCACTCAAACAGTTCCCCCATTCTCTTGAGGAACTCGTCCACGTGGGGCCGCTTCAGGACATACACCTGGAAGACACAGGAATCTTAAACCAGGTTCCTACACAGCTGACATATGGCAAAAAAAAAAAAAAACATGTTTCTACAAACCGTAGCTGCCCGAGGAACTATGACGCTTTGTTGTGGTTTAATATAATCTGTGCAAATGATGAATTAACATTTTAAAGGTTTACATAGGGGTACAAGACCGAGCATGCATGAATCATACATTTCAATCTCAGGCATTCAAGACTCATATACTAAATGTACTCGTATGGATCACAGACAGACAGACATTTGGCTCCAAAAGTAAAAACCCAGGACTTGTTCCCTTGAAGTTCCTCCAGTTTTCTTCCTCCTGCGGTGTCGGCGGATGAGGGTAGCGTTCCTGAACCAAGTCATCCGGAATAGGCTGTGCTTGTCTGAACAAACCTATCCTGGATTACTTGAATCAGGCCCAGACCCACGGTATGTCATCCATCTCCAAATCCCTTACAAAACGCAGACAGCACCTACTACGCTCAGCAATGTAACCCTGAGAGCCCAGCTATCACACGACCACAAGGCCGGCAAGGCGACAAGTTAAGAGTGAGGACATTTTGGGTTTTTTTTGAGTGGGAGTGTGATGCCAACATTACCTGGTGTACTGTTCCATCTATTTCCACAGGAATGATGAAGTCTGCATTGTTCACAGGCTGTTGGAATGACGACAAAAAAAAAAAAAAAAAAAATGTCGACATGAACAAGACAGAAGATTGAAGCTTTTCCAATCATAAGGAAGTGTGTGTGTGTGTGTGTGTGTGTACAAGGAGGAGTGACTGTTTATTTGGGTTTGAGCACCAGAAATGTCACCGTCAGAGCCAACAACAACCAGATGTTTTATTATCTAACATACCGATCTCGTGATGTCACGTGATCACGGGCGACGACTACGTGCTTTACGGCCCAAATCATATCTTTTGAGTCCCTGCATGATGTGGAAACGGACCTGCACATGGCCGAAACAATATTGTTCTTCACCTTGAACGAGCTGTGAACTAACGTCTCATCCAGATCTATAACCACGCAGATCTTTCCGGAGTCTTTAGACTTCACTGGAGCCAGCAGTGGCTTCACCTGGAAACAAAAAATATGTACTTCAACCTGGGACGCAGCTAAATCCAGCAATAGGAAGCACAGATTGTTATCTCTCCAGTGAACACACCTTGGAGACGGTGCCGTTCTCTTCCACCAGCAGAGGGGCGTTGTTGTTGACCGGTGGGGGTTCGGGCTGGTCCCGACACAGGCAGCAGAAGAGGCTGGAGAAGAGGCCTCTGCTCCTGGGCTTCTTGGAGGACAGAGAGGGGGAGGAGCCTGCAGAGGAAGAAGAAGAAGAAGAAGAAGAGATGGTCACCAAGCTGCAACCCAAATTACCTCTTATTTGAGAAGCTAGAGCTGATTGAATTTGTGTCAATCGATAGATTAAACAACTTATTGATTATTTTAAAAGGTTTGTTTGTTTTTTAAACAGTTAAGACTGGCAAAAATCCTGCCACGAGCAGATTTCTGCCTTTCTAAAAACAGAAAAACAAAGCTGTGTTAACTGTATTTTGGTGATAATAACTCTCACGCTGATGACTCCATCTCGTGAATGTATGACAACAGTACAAAGTACGTCCAGCAGCTTTCCTCATACTTTAGTCATGTGCACAAACCCTCCTGGAGACACGCGGCACTGCCAAGAGCTCTTGCGTAACACTCCTATGTCAGCAGCAAACAGCCCCAAACATCAGCAATGAAGTCGCAGCTCTTTAACAGCGCTATAGAGACATCATGAGGACATCATGAGGACATCAGGCATTCAGAAAGTAAAAGTTAACCACTGACGGCAATTTAAAACAATGAAATGCACGTACAGGGATGAATTTAGGTTAGCAGTGATAACTTCTCAGAGGAAGACATTCCCCCTAAAGTTTGTCATCCATTGAGCTGAACTCCATTGGTCCATTTCCGTGTCCCATAAATCTCTCATTAACACTCCTCCTCGCCTCCTTTTCTGTCTCCTATTACACTTTGTTTCGGCCTCTTTCTGCTCCCTCTCTCTCTCTGTGTGTGTCCGGACGTGACCGCGTTACCAACACACAACCCTCTGTTGTGCGTCTCTCTCTCTCGCCTCTTTCATTCCCTCCTACGTCATTTGTGGATTCAAACTCCGTCTGACCCTCTGGGGCACTCGGGTCCAAAACAGGAAGAGGAAACAGACGGGTATCAGTGGAGGAAGCTGCATGCCATCATGTTTGAGTGTAGCGGGAGACGGCTTCATGATACTATTCATTTAGATTCAATTAATTCACAAAGAACTTAAGCAGTAGAGATTTGTAAATTAACCTTATTTACTCCCTTGAGTCCTCACTGCTTGCTTTCCTTTTTCCCTCCCTTGAGCCCTCGCTCCCTCCCTTGTGTCCATGTAATTTCCTCACAGTTGTTTGAGAAGTAGAACCTCATTCTGCAGTGTTTTACGTCGTGGTTTCTGACACATCTGGCTTCAAACCAAGATGAAACAATTGTCTGATGTTTGTGGGTCAAGTCTTTAAATGTATATGAACACTGAAGTAAGTTTAGCAGACCTCAACATGTCATCTCGTGTTACATGACTTACTGAAAATGAATAATTCAAACTCTGCGGAACACCAGGGAGGAATAATTCACACTCAAATTTTGTGCGATTGACGCTCACGCTCTTAATAACCGCTGAGCTTTAGTCACATTATGAAGTTAGTCGTCATAACATATGGAAAACACCGTATTGTTGGCTTCCAACACTGCTTGCTGCATTTACAAACAGCCACAATCAGTCGATCTCAAAAGGACCGTCAGCATATTAAGCAACAGCTTGTGAAGGTCAGAAACGTTCACATACCACATCAAAATCAGCACCGGCATAACAAGCCATTCATTCGTAGACTTACTTTATACAACCGCAGGACATTTCATTTAAAGTTGGATTTATGAGCCAATCTATAACCCTCAAAACACTTTAAAACCACTTCATGTGGATCCTCTACACTACGGAGAAACTGAAACTAAAAGAGTTTGATTTGACGAGGCTTAAAACAGCTTTGGGTTATCATGTCAGAATTAGGCGGGACAAAGTCAACATGCTGTTTGAGACAGTGAGTATAAGCATGTGTGAGGACGCGGTTACGTAAAAGATTAAGCTGCACATGCACAACAAGGCCTTATACGTTTGTGTGCATGCAATAATAAGTCCAACTCCACGATACAGATGTCAGTGTTGTTCAGACATCGGCCTCTACGTGAGCTGCAGGTTTCTCAGGGATGATGACTGACAGGTCACCAGATTATTCAGTAACCTGCATTCTCACTCCCCCGCCTGTCCTGCAAAGCTGGTGTTGAACACACAACAACTGATAAAAAGTTAGTGCTGCATTGAGGAACTCACAATTTCACAGGCCGGTTAATGAAGTTAGGGAGGAAACAGAGGAGCACTGTAGTAAAATAAATAAGCACTAAGAGCCATGACAGCGAGACAGAAGAGATAAAAACACACATTTCATTATCACACTGAGGCCAAAGTAAACACATTTTTGTGATTGTTTTATATATGCATGGTGCTGTAATATCTATACTATTTAAAGTGGGTTTAAGGTATTCTCATGCTTTTATTAAAGTATTATAAGCATTGGTACGTCATTTACTTGACTTTCATCACAGGCCGAAGGGCCGCAGACGTGATCTTTGTGCAGAAAAGTGAGACAATGTGACAGTTTTAGTGCTGCGGCTTGTTTTCAGTCCACTTTACACCAAAGAGCGGTGTTCATGTATCTGTGCAGAGGTTGTTGCAGCGGTTTCTGCGTCACGGAGCTCCGCAAAACACACTTATAAAGCCACTTACCTCTCTCTCCTGCGGCTTTATTCCCCTCTTCATCCCGGCTGACTTGGGTGATTATTGAGGACGGGTTGTCCATCACATCCAGGTCTGCTCCAGAGTGCTGATCTCACACTTTTAAAGTTACAGATAGTTCGCTGACTCGGTGCATTAAACCAACTTAACATCAACAAACACGGAAAAACATCGCAACACGTCGCCTACAGCGCAGCCATTACACTTCGGGCTAAACGTTTTGAAGTCTGAAACTTACAAAGACATTTGTCAAGGAGGTAGAAACTTTGATTCAATATGGTGCCTCAACTCCGCTCGCAATTTCAAGATACAAACATGGAGGTTTCAAGGCTTCCCCATTTCACTTAAAGTGGCGCAGTAAGAGAGAGGCCGTGTGCAACACACTCCCTTCTCTGGTTAGTCTACGGATTTGACGACGATCCCTTAACCTCAGTAGCCCGAAACAAAGTTACTCAAACATAGCTAGTTAGCTAAGCTATCAGGCTAGATACTGGACATATTATAGTCAAATATACTGCATAAAAAACATGCATTTACACTGATATCGGTGGATATGTTGGTTCACAACACATTAACAATGTTTTACTATACAACCATAACGGCAAAATATGAAATAAACAGTTAATTATGAACAGGCTACATGTAGCAAAACTAACCAACTTTAGCCGACGGCTATTCCTGCGATACCACCATTGTACGATACCGTAGATAGATATATAGACAAATATTTACACCATATTTGCAACTTCTAGCCCGGCACGTGTATGTACATATGTGTCTGTAGTACTGCAGTTGTTGTGTAACGGATAATATTAGTTGTTAAAAACTTTTTTTTGTAGTAGCGGTAAAGAAACGCCCAGTTTGGGTCCCCTTGAAACTGCCTTGGTCCAGGGACCGTCGCAAAAGTACCGACTCTCTCTCTAGCGTGCATTTTTGTTTCTCCTCCAAAATACAGTAGCAGGGTATAAAGTCTGACTGCTTGAGAATGCACTGTTGTTTTAGTGTAGTTTGCATATCATAGTTTGTCAAATAAAGAGGCTTTGTATAAATATTTTGCCTTTATTTGTCATATTTTATCATAGAAGTGTGATGTTTTCCTTCCCTTGCCATTATTGTGGTGTTTCTTTGCAGAAAAAGGTTATTGTTATATGCAGGAAGGATAAGCAAAAATCTACTTTTTCACATTTTTTTGTTTTGCATTGACTCATGCATTTTAATTATCTGTATATATGAATATAATCCTATATCATTGTAAGGTAACACTCATAAAACATGCAATACAACCAGAAAGCAGTACTGCTTATTGATTTGCAACTTTGTCTTTCTTGTTAATCAGACATATTAAATTGCAAAATGTCTAATGATACACATGTACTGTATATTGTACCACAGTAAATGTCATATTGCACAACCTTATACTGTACTGCCACAAAATATAAATAGGAATATTATTGTCGCAAGCTTACCTTTTACTTTGCAAGCTTTATGGTGTTCAAGTGTATAAATGCATTTTTATAGCAGCAAACTTCTTTAAAGTATAAAAATAATCCCATCGAAGTACTCAAGGGTTCATTTGGAAACCCAAGCCCAATGTTGCATTCCACAAAGCTCAAAACTTTTCCCCAATTGTATCAATAGTTTATTACATACCTTCTCATAAAAACATCTTCAACTTCCCCCCCACATAGAAACACCGCAAATTGGTACATTTATAAATCTTCAAACGTCCAAATTCATACAAAAAGGAACACTGTGGTAGAGCAATACACAAGACGTTCTATTATTACAAGGACTGCGTGTACTGTATGTATGCATGTATGTAAGAATCTAAAGTCCAAATATTGCAGTCAAACGTTTGCTTTGTTCAGAGTCAAACATTTGTCATATCAATTGTGAATTATTACCACTGGAGACACATTTACAAGAGAAGTATTTTGGATATCAATCCGATTTAGGCACTGACTGGGTGATCATGATTGAAGCAACCTGACCAACCGATGGGCAATACTGAGAAACCACAGCAGTTTACCAGTGGATGACTTGTCCACGTAAAATGTAAAATCTACATTACAGACTGCTTTTCATAGTTTATTACAGAGTTCAGTTTCAACCACAGACCAAGAAGTTGTACCAAAAATTCCTAGCTCACCCTAAAACCAATCACAAAGACACTCCTTATTTTTATCCTTTTTTTGTTGCATCGATCAGAATTCAAAAAGTGATTCAAAAATGCTCTCGCACGCACACACACACACAGACACACACTCACACATGCAAATAAATTAACATGTAAAAAGTAAACAATTTCAAGAATAAAATAATATTTTTGGTTTTGAGTTTTAAAATGTGTAATTAAATGCAAAAATAAATTAGCAGCTTAAATCATGGTACATTCACATGAGTTGTTTACTAATACATTTAGTGACAAACAAGGCAGAAAAAAAGCTAATGATACTCATGTTCCAGGCTGATCGTGCAGAGTGGAGACCAATGTTTATCTAAACCAAATAGCAAATGTGCACCGTCAGAATTCACAAGGTGACCGAGAAATTGTGCAATCAAAGAAAATCAAAAGAACATCCTGTGTCCTCACAAAGAATGAACTGTTTCTGAGCAGTTCTTCAATTCAACAAACATGTCATGGCGGTCATCTCTTTAGTTTCATCTCAGAATCCCTTTAGTGTTGAACGTTGAAGTCTCCCAAAATAACACGTGGACTCCCGTCTGTCCTGTGGATACTCACGCTCTATCCAGCTGTCTGCCCGTCCCCTGAGCCTTGACCTGTGCCCCACTGGTCAGGCGGACGTTTTTCATGCAGCGGTGATTCACAGAGGTTTGATTTGGCAGAATCTGACCCTGCAAAGCGTTGTGGTGCTGCGTTTTCACCGTCGTCTCACTTGGGGCTGGGAATGGTCGCTGGCGAGCTCTGGTAGGTGCGCAGCAGCACCTTGTGCTTGGTGGTGGCCTCTGAGCGACGGCATTGTTGTTCCACCAGGAACTCCTTGAGTCGACCGGAGGTGAAGGTGAGTGTCTGTCTCCTCAGCTTCATAAGGTAGGAGTCCTGCAGCCAGGCTTGTGTGAAGCAGTCCCGTGTAGTCGGACGGGCCCTGGGAAGACACAGAGAAATACACACAACGTAACATTTCATATTCTGTATTACAGGAAGTGTAAAACCTGACTTCGCTGACTCTCACCATGGGTAACTGCTCAACATCTTCTTGAGAAAGGCGGAGGCACTTTGGGACACGTTTGGGTGAAGTTTCGTCGGGTCAAACTTCGCCATCAGGATTTTGGATTCGACTTGCAGAGGGTCTTTATCTTCAAAGGGCAGTCGACCACTGAGCCTGGAAGGAAAGAGAGGAAAAACGAAGTTGAGCAGGAGAGTTCCAAAATGTAATGCACTTAATTAAAATGTGGCGCCTACTTTAACAAGGGATTGAGCTTTTGACACATTAAAACACACATCAAGGAAACATTAAACAAGTATTTTCTTGTCTTTAGTGTTAACTAGTGAGCCTGGTTTTTGGGAATGCTTCAAATGTATGCAATATGTCCACACACATGAGACGTCTCACTCACATGATGTAGGTGACAACGCCAACAGTCCAAATATCCGAAGGAGGACCAACCACTTCACCTTTTACCATCTCAGGAGCTTTTGTCAAGAGGATGAGAATTTAGAAATACATTTTTGCACAAAAAGTAGCATAAAAAGCTTCAAATGTTGGAGTCAGAGACTATCTGAACTTCAGAGAAGTCAGAAGACGTTCTCGTCCTCACCCATGTACTCCAGTGTTCCTGCTCCGGAGTCCCAGAGTTTGAGGCTGAGGGGGTTGAAGCTCTGGGCGCTTCCAAAGTCCACGATCTTGACGGCGTTGAGGTTGGTCACCATGATGTTGTCGGGCTTCAGGTCCAGGTGGAGGACGCGGCGGTTGTGGAGGTACTCGACCCCCTGGAGGATCTGGACCAGGTAACCCACCACGTCGTCCTCGGAGTAACGGAACCTGTCGAGAGCGAAAAGAGATGGTATGGTTGTAGTTGGAAACGTGGTCACATCACTATCGACTCTGCCTTTTTATATGCATGTATACTCACAACTTGGATATATTAATATAAAAATAAAACATATAAATATTCAACTTTAAATCAATAAAAAATCATCAGTATAGTGTTACTGAACCCCTGAATTAAATCTATGGTTTCACCATTTAATTAAAATCAATTTAGCCTTAACTCAAATAGACTAAAGAAGGAAAGGTCTCGTCTCCGGCCCCCTGCTCTGTAACTCTGTGTGAGTTTGTGTCTCTCAGTACGAGGGCGACGTCTCCGTCCTCCTACCTGTCTATGAGGCTGTACAGCAGCTCTTTGCCGGTGCAGTACTCGGCCACCAGCACCAAGTAGTGCGGCGTGACGTAGGCTTCGTGCAGAGCCATGACCTTTTCATTGTGAAGGGATTTCAGGATCTCGTACTCCTTCAGGACCTCCTGCTTGTTCTCTTGGTTGTAGCAAATTATCTTCGCCATGTAGATTTTGCCCGTCGTGTTCTCGCGGCACTCTCTGACGACTCCGAAACGACCCCTTGCACAAATAAAAAGGAACATATGAACCTAATGTAACAAAAGTAGGAGATGGAGAAGATTAATCTTGTCGAGACAGTTCTCTATACGTCCAGTCTGTCATCCAATATAGGATTTTAATAAAGTCATTCTTATATTTCTTTCTTACAACCATATCAATATGAGTTATACATCATTCTTACATCTATACATCAGATTTTTGTCATCTTTTTATGGTAAAATATTTTCTAACTGAAGCCCCTAAAAGCTAAATGTTTGTACAGACATTTAAATCATAGAACACCTGCACTGAGCCGCCTCGAGGTGCTGCTGAAGGTAATTAATCCTGCTTTTTATGCACTGCTTTATTGCCTTTATGCACTTTAAGAGTTTCCACCATGATATAACGGTCATTCTGAGGACAATTATATGGGTTTTGTGTGACTTGTCATATTTAAATTGACCTTAAAGCCCTTCTGTCTCACCTGGCTTTCTCATCCAGGAAGGTGTAGGGTTTCTGTGGAACCCCCTGTCGTAGAGCAGTGGAGGGCGTAGCGCGTCCTGATGGGGTGCCTCTGGTGGGGGTACTGACCCCGTCACCAATAGGGCTCAGGCTGGAGGACTGGAGGACTTGTGGGGAAAAGGCGACAGGAGTCGGGGTCACACGAGCGGTGACGGTGGTGGTGGGGACGTATGTGGGCACAGAGGCCACTGCTGGTTTGATTGGCGCCGATGGCGGGGATATTGGAGGGTTCTGGGTCATGGGAGACACCACGTTTACTGGACTCTGGGGTTTGGGGAGGACAAAGGGTGGAGGTGCTTTGACTGCGGCTGAAGAGGGATGAGAGGAGCTTATTTTTGGAGTGTCTTTGGTGGTTGCACCTGCAGATGGCAGTTGGGGGTTTGTGGCGGGGCCGGAGGGCAGAGAGGGTGGAAGAGGTGAAGCAGCAGGGGTGGCTGCATATTTTGAAGAGGTGGAGGTGACGGTGGAGACGGCTGTCCTGGGAGCGTTGTTCTGGACTGGCCTTAACGGAGGCACCGTCACTAAGGAGGGGGCAACTGGTTCAGGTGGTGCTGGGACTGTCTTTACGACGGCCATGGCAGGTGAAGCTCCTCCAGCTGAGAAAATAGAAATACAACCTTTAAAGGTTAATGCCTTTATCCACCATGTTGTGATTGAAGCCTTCAGCGGCCCAGTCCAGCACTAACAACTATACCTGTTGAGTCCAAGCTGACTGGAGCAGAACAGTTGCTGTACGGTCCCTGTCCTGCCTTGTTGATACAGGCCACTCTGAACCTAAAAGTGCCACTTGGTGGCAGGTCTGTGACATTGTAGTAGCAGTCCACAACTCCAGTGGCTACAGTCAGCCAGTTAGAATCACCTGCAGCACAGAGGGACAATAAATAAGTGACCTTTAAGGATAGAGCATAGAGGGATAAATGAGGCAACCGAATGCTGTATTTGTAAATCTTGAAGTATGCATATTGGATATATATGTATTGTAAATGGAATTATGAAGAGAAGAAAGACAAGTCTCAACAAGTAAAAGTTAGAAAAGAATCTTGTTTTGTTCTTGTTGTAGTTTACATATTGACCACCAGAGGGCGGTGTTGTCAAACGGATGGACAATGTGGACATGCACATGGATGAAGCCTAAAGCTTGTAAAATGTTATGCATAAACAAACATTTCTTATGTTGGCACGGTGAAAGAGACCTGGAGTCAAATGTAAATTAGGAAGTGACAAATTATTGTGTGAGCACCTGAATCAATGCTGCCAGGCAAACAATGCATTTGGAATGAGACGACAAGGCAACAACAGCCAGAAGGAAATCAATCAGAGCAAGAAGTCGGAGTCCGCTACTCCAGGTTTGTGCGTTTCACCCACCACATTATAAGATAGTGATGATTCATCATGTTAAATGAGAAAAAGCTGTGGCAGCAGCACCGGTGCAGTCACTATTCCCTCGAGGGATGACTCGTTTACTCCGTCTAGGTTGTGTCTCTGGGTATTGAGACTGATATCCCCGGGCGTTCTCCACATACAGTATATTACAAAGCCAAACATCGTCAAAGCTTTTCAAACACTGCTACCAGCAAAGGGAATGTAGTTTTAAAACCATCGAAACTACCTACAAACTAATTCACAACTTACTCGATATTCATTTGGATGAGCTGAATGTTGCTAAATGATAGATGAATAAAAAAAGTAGAGAGGGGACTCGCCTTCTGTTTTTCTTTCCAGGCTGTAGCTGCACGGAGACTTGGTGTCCGCTGGCTTCCAGAGCACCAGGGCTGTGTTGTTGTACGTCTGGGGGACTTCAGGGGTCCCCGGCTGCTTTGGGACACCTAAAAAAGAACAAATTAGATGAGTGTGCACAGGCATGCAGACACACACGAGTTACATAGTTATACTGGGCAGATGTGAGTGCTGAATACGAGTAGACATGTGGTCAGAAAACCCACCCTCGGTTTTAAAATTGAAGATATTCAAGTGGGTATTTTAGTCTCAAGGATTTTCATGTGCATGTGGTTTTAAGTGCGTGTATGTGGGTGGTTTCACTGTAACGTGTGCATGGTTTTACTACTGTGTGAGCAGGATTGAATTGCGTCCTTCACAGGCTTTCATAAAAGCTGCTTTATTTCAAGTGCTTCACATTGCAAAATGTTACAGCAGTCACTGATTCAGTAGATTCAAATGTCACTTTAATGACGTTGAGGTTCAAGACACCAACGACAAGATGTTCATTTTCTCGAGCGCAGGATAAAAAAAAATAAAAAATACGATCCAGACGATGGTGTGTGTTTTGTAGTAACACTAAACCAAACTTGACACAAACGATGTCGTTCCGTAATTTCAAAATGTATTTCCCATTAAGCCTGTGCACCGGCTGCAACAGGCGAGATGAGCTGTCTGAAGTATTTTTCTCACAGCAAGAGATTATTATCAAGGGGAGACAAATAACATCAGTGGTTGAGATTAGAAATATTACATGTCCAAAGCCATGACCAATAACGTTCAAATGAAATCGATTGCGCCTGACGTCTGAGGAATGTATTTTCCACTGAAACCTCAAAAGTCTCATTGCTATTGTTGGATTTTTTACACACCATTTGTGCAAAGGCATGACCGGAGTCTTAAATAACGACCTGCTGCAGACGATTCCTAAATCCCCGGAAGCAACATTTGTTCCCATTACATGATGAATATGAGAAAAGCCGAAAATCCATAAAGTCAATCTACTGTAAAAGTTAATCTCTTGACATTAATATTGATTTAAACTGTATCAATATTCATTCCATTCTTCCTGCAATTAAAATTAAATGATGTAAAATACATCCCATCATGAGGATAATTAGTGTGTGTCCATGAAAGGCGAAGGAGCAGCTGTGCCTCGAAGAGATCTCGCTCTATGTTAATGAATAATTCCCAACTCCCATTGCCCCCCCCCCCCCCATTCTGTACAATAACAACATTAAGAAAACACTTTCTGGAGAGCTACGGGCTGAATAAGCTACTTACAAGCTATGGTCAGTGTGCAGGAGGTGGTGATGGTCGCTATGGGGTTAGTAGCTACGCATTCATAAACTCCAGCGTCCCTCCGGCTGGATTTCATGATCATAACAAGCTGCCTGCCATCTGGATGAGACATCAGGTTGATCCTGTCATCCACCTCCAGTGGCTTCCGATCTGGAACGCACAACAAATGTAGGAACTGAGCGGCACTTTCTGGATAAAACTACGAGGCAGAAATATTCTGTGAGGCTTTAAGTACCATACCCATCGCCCATGTGATCTCTGGATGTGGACTTCCAGCTGGAAGGCAGCTGAGAGTGACCGACTCCCCCTCCAGTAAGATGTGGTCTTTCAGTTTGATGTGGAACACGGGGGCAAAATCCGAGGCAGAGCGGATGAACTGCTGGCTTTTTGACAAGCCCTCCTCTTTGGGGACGGAGGAGGGCAGATCAGACTGAGAGGGGGTTTTGTCTTTCTTGCCCCTCGTCAAACCCCACCTGTCCCACCGGGATCGCCTGTCAGTCTCTGAGGCTTTTTCGGAATGGATGCTGGATGCGGATTCAATCGATTCCTTGGATGCAGCAGCGCCGGTCTGTTTCGCGAGCTGATTCTCAGGGATGCCCATTCCTTTGAGACCTCGGCCCTCAGATTGGGAATGACGATGGCGGGTAAACAGAGGCGTCCTCTTCCCCTCTTCACCCTCTTTTCTCTCCTCAGACTGACTGCGGATCTTCGAGGTAATTCCTGCCACTTTGTTCTCGAACTTGTGTCGCATTGCCAGGACAGGGGAATCGGTGACTTTCTTCAAATCCTTTTGCGCCAGCTCTTTCTGACTTCCCCCGGCGTCTCGGTCCTTCCTCTCCTCGGACTGGGTCTTTATTTTGGCAGAGATTCCTGCCACTTTGGACTCAAACTTGCGCCTCATAGCCGAAACCGATGACTCCTCAGCTTTTCTTTGTTCTCTCTCATCCAGCTGCCTCTGTGCTCCTGCACTGCTCAGCTCCTTTGTATCCAGGGACTTACTGCGACCGATAGCCCATGAAACCCTCTTGTTTACAGCAGTTTCCTGCACATCCTGATGCTTTTCCTCCTTTGGTTTCTCACCCTTCTTATCAACGGATGTGGACCTCTTGGCCCGCAAGGAAAACCTCCCAATCAGGCTGAGGCCTGTTTCTTTCTCTTCTTCTCTTAAATCTTGAACAGATTTGGATTTCTCCTTTAGTCTTTTAGAAACTATTTCAAGAGGCGCCCCCCTTGGCCCCGGCCTGTAAACCTCCTCACCCTCCTCGCCCCCCTTCCGGTTTAGCACGGGGGATTTCTCCTCCGACTTGTTTCTGGTCAGCTTCCGGAGGCCACGAGTCAAAGACGACTCCCGCTTCTTAAACCTGGCTTCGAAAACCTCCTCCGAGTCGATGTCTTGGATGTCTGTTCTAAGCACGGGCTGGCGGGGGATGCCAGCAGGATCGGGGTTTGACGAGGTGGAAACAGAACCAGGAGATCGATCAGCAGCCGCTACTTTGGCAAATACTGCTGGATGTTCAGGCAAAGTGGGGATTTCTGTGGACTTTGTGTCATTTGTTGTGGTCGAAACAGCATGGATGACACTTGCATATGCAGAGGAGGGTTTGCTGTTTTGCGTTTTATCTCCCTTCATATCCTTTTCATTAATACGTAACTCTTGATTTTCTTTCTTCTCTTCATCTTCATCATCATCATCCTCTATTACAATTATAGGAGTAATAACAGAGGGTGATCTAGAGTCAGATTCTACTTTATCTGGCTTTTCTAACTGGGTATTGGTCCTTTTCTCTGCTATACCATCCATGTTATTCTCGTTCATACTTTGCATATCATCACGTTCTTTCACATTGTTCCGTTTTTGCTGTTGGTCCAACCTTCCTGGTGTTGGGAGTAGAAAGGAAGTCTTCTTTGTAGGCGAGGCAGACGTGGACTCCAGAGTTTGTTCTGTGATTGCCGACATTGAGGTCGCCTCCTGGAGCTTTTTTCCTTCTATGCTACCATTGCCCACCGATGGGATCTCTAAGGGGGCTCCAAACCTGCGGTGCAGGGGCATGGGCTCAGAATCCCCCTGAGTGAAGGAGGCGCTTTTACGAAAAACTTTGGTCTTTGGCGCGTCCTCTCCGGGGTTCTCTGAAGACGCTGCTCTGGCGAGTGTTGATGGCCCCGCTCTAGATCTCCTCAAGTTCCGATCAAGAGACCCAGTCCGCCTCTCGTCTTCCATGCCGAGTGTTTCAAACAATGGCCCTCGCAGGCCGCTCATCTTTTTGTCCGCGTTTCCTCCCCTGAGCAGCCGCTGTCTCATCAGTTCCAGTTTGAGGGCATAATCCTCCTGGCTTAACTTCGCCGCCCCGGGGCTCGGGCTGCGATTGGGTAGTTCCATAGAAACAGCCTTTTTCAGGCTCTTGTTACTTTCTTCTGAATCTTTGTTTGCGTTTCCCTCTTCTGGGTCAATGTGGAGAAGCAGTGCTGAATCAGCAGAGCTGCCTCTCCTCATCGTAGCCCTCCTGGTTTTTGTCGGAGTTTCATCCGCCTCCACACTTGTTTCTTTTTTAAGGGGGGCTTGTTTTGCCTTTTCCATTTTCTCCTCAACTTGGGTTTCCTCTTCATCCTTCACGCCTTTATTAGCCCCTCCTCTCGTAACTGCCGTCTCCATGTTGTCTTTTTTCCTTGTCCCATCAGCAGCAACACCAGGCCATACAGTGACGTCTTCGTCCCCCGGGATCTCGTTAAGGGAAACCCTGGAACCAGAAAAGGCCATGGACAGCGGCATAGGAATGAAGGGAAGCTCATCTACATCTGCATCGGAGTCAGAGGAAGAGGAGGGTGGTGAGGAGCCTTCTTTCAAATGCCGGGCCACAGCAATGGAGACGTGTTTAGATGACTCATTCAAAAGCTCTGGGATCGACCGCATCACCATCTTGGATTTGTAGTTGATAAGGGAACGCTGAAAAAAATAAAATAAAATAGAGGACAGCATGAGTTAGTTTACTTCTCCTACTTTATCTGCAAAGTTAATACTACACCTTTCAGACTGAAACAGATAGTGGTTGGAATAGACTAAAACTATATCCTGCCACGTTTAGAGGTATAATTCAGGCCTATGGACCATGTCTAATCCTGCTTTAAGAAAACATAAAATAATGTTCAGTGGCTTACCTGCCATCGCCTTCTAGACAAAACCTGCTTCAGCATAGCTGTGCTGATGCTCTTGTTCGTTGGCGACTGCAAGACAAAAGGAGGGGAGTCAGCATTCACTTACATTCACCAAACTTTCCAGTTTCATTCCTCTCTATATTCTGAAGGTTTTTACTGAGTTTTTTCTTTTATATGTATTATTCATAGCTTGATTTAGACAACATTGTATCCCTAAACAATGGTGAACATATTTTTTTGTATGGCTGTTGTGATAAAAACAGCTATCCAAAATTCCCTCTGTAAAAATCTTTTGACTCTAACAACTAAATGAAACAAGAATTTTGGACCTGGTTTTGTCCAATGTTCACATTTCTGCTCTGGAAATCTGTGCAAATTACTACCTATTGCACCAATGCACCATTTGCATATTTACAAATAGAATTTCATATAATTTGCAATACAAAAAAATGGTCTTAATGTAAGGAATCAATTGGGGAAGTGTCATGGTGATATCTAATAGTTAAATACAATGTTACCCTATTCACCTGTAAATAGTTTGAGGCTGGGTGAAGTATTTTTTTAAACGATAACTCACCTTGAACCAAGGATGACGAAGGCACTCGATGGCACTGGGCCTCCTAGAAGATGAAAAATGAGGAAGGAGCATGCTACTGTTTAGACAATGAGGAAGGAAATCATGGTCGGTCAAAATGATATATCTTTACATATGTTTATGGTAAAAGATAAAGCCATCAAGATGCTTACAGTCGGTCCGCCACCAAAAGCTTGATGACAAATCCCTTCGCTTCTTTGCAGAGGTCGGCGAACATGCTCTCCTCAAACGCCACATTGTAGTTACGGATGTTTAAGGCCGTCGCTCGGTCATTCTCACCAGCAAAAGGAGACACGCCAGTCAGGCTAAAACAAAACAAAGAAAGATATCTGTGCTTGTTCTATTCTATTGAAACCATACAAAGTAAAAACAAATGATAACAAATCCATAGAACATACCAGAGGTACGTGACGACACCAGCGGGCCTGTGGGAGAGCAGGACAGACGAATGACATTTGGATTTTTGAGAACAACACAAAAGATTTCACTCAGATAACAAGGTAGTGCCTGCATTGTGTAGTCACGCTGGAGAACAGGTGTCTCACCATATGTCTGTTGCTGTGGAGACGGGAGTTTGGTTAACAATCTCTGGTGCAACATATTCCGGCGTGCCGTATTTGCAGTAGTGCTCCTCAGATGTCTCCAATTTCGCGGCATTACCAAAGTCACAAATGCGGATCAGGTCGCTCCCAGGACTCGCCATTAAAATGTTTTCTGGCTAGAGGGGGAGGAAGAACAAAAAAAAAAAAAAAGTTGGGTTGTTATAAAAGAATGTGATGAAATAGATTTGATGCGGCGTCAGAGGTGGGGTGGACAGATACCTTTACGTCAAGGTGGGCTATGCTTTTTTGGTGAAGATAACGAAGACCTTCCAAAAGCTGCTGAACGCTCCAGCGGACCTGCAGAGAAAACACCGGGGAGTGAACTTAACAGTCATGTTACATAATGATAGCGCAGTGCAGGCAGCAGAGGAACACACACCTCCAGTTCCTTGACTGTTGTTTTTTTGGCCATTCTTTCCAGCAACTCCTCGTGACATCTTCACACAATAGCTAAGGGGGAAAAAAACCCAGAGCTGTGGCTTGACTGCACAGTCCAAGTGGTAGGTGCATGAGAAATGAATTATAAATGAGCAAAACTCCCACACATCCTATCTCTTGCTAATTCCACTCATCGGCAATGAGTCAGAGAGAAAAAGCTGTGCTGCGCTGTATTCATGCCTCCAGGGGAGCGCAGAAGACATTAGGAGTAATGCTCGGGATCTTTCGTGTCCTTCAGATGCATTTAAGAGCACTTTCGTTCGGCGAAGAAGATACAATTTGAAACAGTACTGCAGGAAAGGCAGGGCCTTTTTGACTTAAAGATATGAACATCGAAGCAATAAGAGATTAAAAAAACCTATTCTGTCGTTGGGCAATACAGATAAAAGCAACATATTAAAGCAGAGTATTTCCTATCATAGATAATACAATTGCGCTGAAAGGATACAGCTCTGTGATGAGCACCACCACACTCTTCTTCTCAAAGGCATCGTGGAAATAGAGAATCCTCTCGTTGTCCAGCTCAGACAGCAGGTCCATCTCTCTGAGGGCCAATGCTTTCCTCTTTCCTCCCGCAGAAATGAACTTGGCGGCGAACTCGGCCTTTCCCTTTTTCTGAATCACCCTCTTCACATAGGAGAAGGCGCCCCTGAATCAAACAGCGGAAACATTTACGGTTTAATACCAAACAAATAGTTCATGTCCTATTTAACAGCACAGTAAGCGTCCCTCCGGCTGGACACAAGAAAAAGAAAATGCAGTGCCACCGTCAAATAACAAATTCCTGATTCATTCTTTAATTTCAAACCAGACAAGACATAAAAAAATGATACCAAAGGAATATTTTTAATACGAGCTGGAGCCCTCGTTACAGGGCACAGGTCAAAATATAGCTATAACAGCATGTTTTGACCTTTGTGAACAGTACGTCTGACAAAATAACATCAGCTCAAAATGTCAACTGAAGGCTTTTATAGGAGCTTTAAACCTCGAGAATAAAAATGTCTCTAAAAGGTATTTAAACAGAGACATGACCTCACATTGATGTTGTGGAGTCAACAGAGTACTCCTTGAGAAGATTTAAGTCATGAATCACTGATAGAGGCTACAGGAGAATGGAGAGACAAAGAGGGAGGCATGGCCGTTGTATAATTGACTTTTTTTTTCCTGAGGCGTTTGGGAAAAGAAATCAGAATCTGAATTCCATCTGAGTTTGCTGCTCTGCTTAATAACCGAAACACATCGCCTGCCTGTTCTGATCGCTCTACAATTCCCGGTAAACGCTGCATCTCCACCACGTCAGACCAAAACAAATCATCTGTCGGCTAATGTATTCGCTCCACTCAGGCTGCTGGTGACTCATCTCTGGTTGCCGTCTACTGTTGATAAGCAGGTGCGACTCCCCGCAGTCCCATCAGCGCTCAATCAGCCATTAATGGCAATGTACTCGCTGTGTGTGATGGGCGCGAGACGGCGTGAGTGTGCCGTCAGACACACACACACTCACCTCCCCAGCTCCTTGTGGATATCATAGTAATCCGTCAAACGCCTCATCTTCCTCAGAATGGTTCCTTCGTCCTCTATTGGCTCTGCTGCTTCCTTTCGCTCTGCAGGGAGCAACAACGCAGGCATTTTTAATGCGTGCATGTGTTTGGCTGTACATGTGTGCCAGCGTTTGTCACACAGATGGTTTCATCAGGTGGTCCTTCCCATATGGTGTAGATTTAGAGGTGCAATTTTCAACAACAACCAGTGTATATTGTTTGTTTGGCATCGGCAAACGGCTATAATCTAGACTAAATGGTAAAGATCAAAAGCAAATAGAGGAAAAGCCTGTCGGTAAACCATTTTTTCGAACAGGCCTTTAATTCTCTAAACAAAACAGATTGAGAAATGATCATGAAAAGATGCTACCTCCTCATATCTTTGAATCTCATAGGATTATAATCATAATTAGTAGGGTGAATCTCTCCGCATGCAAAGCATGTTTGTGCAGACAGTATTGTTGGACTGCAGACCTGTATGAACTGTGAGTTCAGCTTTGCAGGAGTTGGAGTCGGCCAGGTTCTTCGCAGTGCAGGTGTACACACCGGAGTGTTCGGGGCAGGCGTTGAGGACAACGAGGGAATACTCGGGGTCGTCGTACACAAATGTGAAGTGGCTGCTCTCAGAGAGAAGCGCATCGTCCTGCAACAGACCAATCGAATACGGTTAGTGTGGTTAATATGGTCTTGGATTGCACTCGTAATTCTGCTATTTTCAATGTCATGTTTCTCTGGCTGTTGTGCTGCATCACTTCAACTCCTCTTTATCTGATATCAGGACAAGTGTACCTTATACCAGAGAATATCTGGGTCTGGTTTCCCTTCAACCACCACAGCCAGACGGGACGTCTCCCCAATGTGCACATCCACATCCTCCATGATGGTTTCAAACTTGGGAGGCACTACGGAAGAAGACAAAAAGAGAGAAAGAAGAGAGAGAGAAAAAACAAAGATTAGAAAAATCTCACATTTAAATCATGGCTGAGTAAAAAGGAAAGTCATTTTTAGAGAAGCTCTACTATATTCATGAGCCTTTACTTCAAAAATAGCTGCAGCTCAAATTAAATTACACACAGCTCCTCTTTGTTGGCATTAACTGCTGCCAGGAGTAAGTAGTAAGTTCTTTGGATTCAAGCTGAAATGCTAAATTTATCATGTGGTGTACTGCCTCAACTAAACTGACCTGCCATTGCCAGCTGAGGCGTGCAGAGGTCGCTGCCAAACTGGTTGCTGGCCGTGACCACGAGCTGACCAATGTCTGAGCTCTTGACTCTTTGGAGCTTCAGGGTGTGTTGATCGTCATCTGGCATGCTCATCTCATACATCCCCAGTCGGTTGACCAACACCACCCCCCTCCTGGGTAAGACAAAGGCATTATGTCAAAGTTATGCGACGTGTGTGCAAGGATCTTCTTCAGCAGTTAGGCACCAAACACCCTGCAGAGAACAAAGCTTTCCCAGAGCTCCACGGAGAACATGTGCTCGAACGTGAAATGTTAAATTCAATCAGAGCAAAGTGAACCACTGCACAGCGGTGCTCCTCAGTCCTGGTCCACTGGATTCCTGCTATTTTAACTGGAATCTGTAGAAGTTACGATAAGCCTGTTCACAAAATGTCCTATCTCGATGTATAAAACAGTCTCTGATGAGAAGAGAAGTGGGATGAAAACCAGCATGAGCTCCAGCTCCTCAGAGACTTCTTCTGTTCTTTGGTTTCTGTTTAAAATAAGCTTCCTGTTTTATATTGCAGACTAGGGTATTACTGCGTGTACTATTTTTGCACCCCAAAAAAAACCTCACACTGTGCCACGAGAGATGGAGGAACTGACCTTTTCCAGGTGACAACTGCGTGCACGTGGTTCAGCGTGATGGTGATGCTCGCAGGTTGGTTCTCAACGACATACACCATGTCAGGTTTGTCCAAAATGACTGGTGCTTTCCTTGAATAGGGTCCTACAGGGGTAACAGATATCATATCAACTAAACATCGTCTCTTTGAAAATACAAACATATCAAAGCCTACCTCGGCTCTTTTACCTCTGTCCAGCAGCTGGACCAGGTCAGTGGAGGGTGATGGTTTGCTCAGTGTCTTCCCGGTGGACGTCAGAATTCTGAAAGCGTAGCGGACTCCTTTGGACAGGGAGGTGGCGGTGTAGTTGGTCTCCCTCAGGTTGGACGCCACGACAGACCACTGGATCGAGCCCAGAGGCTGCTGCTGGACCACATATAGCAAGGAGCCGGCATCTGCACACACACGCACACACACACACACATGGTGTTTAGGTACTCAATCTGGATGGCAATCAAACACATAGTGAGGTGCTTAAGATTCAGAGAGAAAAGGATTTTTTTTTGTTTTCAAATCTGTGGTGATATAAAAAATCCAAAAGGGGCTTAAAATAATCTCAGAATGAAAAGAAAGCAAATAAACATCCACGATAGGCGTGCTATAAATTGTTTGTCTGCAAGTGTTTTATGTACATTTTGTTTTAACTGTATTATTAAAGCCTTTCTCAAGATAGAAACCAAAGGAACCTACCAAATGAAGAGTCAAGTCTCTTTGGTCGCTTCCAGCTGAGGCTTATAGTTTTCCCTGTGATGGCCTCTATCACTGGAGGACCATCAGGGGGGTCAGGAACGATATCTGTTTCCAAATAAATACACAGATATATACATATCAAATGGGAAATATTGTATCTCTCAGCTATGGCATCAAACATTAAGCCTCCATCTGTACCTGTGACGTATAGATGTGCATAGCAGGTTGCTTTGCCCAGTTTATTGGAGATGACGGCCTTGTAGACGCCCCCGTGAGCGTGACAAGCGCTCCGAATGACCATACTGTGGACATCCCTGTCTGAAGAACAGACGCACAACTTTCTTATTTACTGTCATTCAATCCCAAAATGCTTTGCTTGTTGTTTGGTTCTTTGCTTACGCTGGGTCATCTTGCGCTCTTCGCTGCTCTCGATGCGCTTGCCGTTGTGGTACCAGGCGATGGTTGGGTAGGGCAGGCCCGCCACTTTGCATTTCAGCAGCACCTCTTTGCCGTCAATCACCTCCACATCAGCCAGAGGCTTGACAAAGTCCGGCATGGTCCTCTTCTCCACCTCACTCTCCAGAACCTCAGGCTCCTCGGGGATCGATGGCATCTTCTCCAACTTGGCCCTGAAGGAAGGAACGAAAAATCGGAGCATGTACACTGAAAGACTGATGGGTTTATTTAATGTTTGCCATGCGCCTTCACTCCGTTAGAAAGATACATCTCCTCCCGAAGCATTTTTCTTTGCCCTTGAAAACAAAAATGTCTCCTCTGACTTTTATACTGACAGCTTAGTTGTATTTTTTCCGCTTTTAAAATGACAAAATGAATTTGACTTCATTCATTCAACGTATGAGTTGCTTCTCATACATGTGAGAAGAGATGGCAGCTCGAGGTTCTTGCATGTAGAGCTCAGCGGTGCATTCAGACTTTCCATGAATGTTTTGAGCGACTGCTGTGTAGAAGCCTTCGGTGTCGCTGCTAACGTGGGCGATGACAAGTGAGTGACGACCCCCCTCTTGAAGGAGGCGAACATCATCACTCTCCTCCACTCTTGTCTCTGAAAGAACATCAGCGTGAAACGTAATCAGACACGGGCGTTTCCTCTGAAGTGCACCGAACACCACGTTCATCGAATATCAGACACAACACTGGGGGTTCTTACCAAAATGCATCCACGTGACTCGAGGAGGAGGGGATCCGCTCACCTTACAGTCAAAGCGGGCAGTGCGACCTTCGATTACCTCCAGGATGTCCAGCTTACGGGTGTACAGAGGCTCCTTGGACGGGGCGACGCTCAGGTTTGCGTTCGAGGTCAACTCCTCTGTAAATGCAATGACACGTTCTTTAGCAACAATTTCTTTTGTGGCAATTTTCAGATCTGTACTTGATCCTTTCCCCCATGTTTCATTGAAATCTGTTGACATCTTTTTGAGTTTTTTAACTAAAAGACGAAGCATCACAACTAAAAAACACAACCTCTTTTGCAGAGATATAAACCAATATGAATGTGTGTTTTCCAACTTCTCTTAAATACCAGTGTTTGTAGTTCACCTTTGGCAGTGCTAAGCTTGCAAGTGTATGTTCCACTGTCATCCTCGTGAACTGAATTAAGCAGCAGACGGCATCTGTAAGACAAAACAAGACAGCTTTTAAAAAATGATAATAGTAATTAAACAAAACTAATGAAGTGAAGCAGAAAAGACTTAAACACATAGAATACATGAACCCACCTCTTGCCATCAAAGTGCATTTTGCAGTTGAGCAGCGCCGGCTGGATCAGCTTCCCATTTGAGAGCCAGTCCACATCGATGTCTGGAGGTCCTGTCATGTGACACTCGAACATGGCCGACTCTCCGGCCTTCACCGCCACACCTTTTACCTCCCGGGTGATTTTCAGTGCCGCTTGTGGTGCAGACGCTGATAAAAAAACAAAACAGAAAGATTAGCAGCGCTGAAATATTACACGATATTTCTCACAACATGATTAAACGAGACAGATTAAATTCTTCATTATTCACCTTTGACCTCCACTCTGCACTCCGCTTGCTTGGATCCGTACTCGTTGACGATCTTGCAGAGGTAAAGCCCCGTGTCTGATCTCTGAGCTGAGCTGATTCTCATTTCACTGGTGTCGTCGCCGGTCTCTCTCACAGCGAAGCGCCCCGCTGTCTTCACAGTGACTCTGTCCTTCAACCTGGGTCAGCAGAAAGTGGCTGTCACAGTCGATTGTACTCAGGTGTTTAATAGAAGGGCCGTGTGTGTGTGACAGTAAGTGGCCTTGGTCGAGATAATAGCTTTGAGTGTCTGTCTGACATAAAGATCTCTTACCAGTAAACCATGGGTTTGGGCTGTCCTGCCACCTTTGCTGAGATGACAACATCTTGACCCTGAGTCACCTCCTGGTCACATGGCGCCACCTTTTAAAGGTCAATCACAACATAGTTATGTACAGAGACTTTAGAGGTTTGAGGGTGGTCCCTTTCAATCATACAGAAAATATTTCAAGCAATAATGAAAAACTTTTGCACCAGCTTCTGAATATTTTCTGCCTTTTCCCCCTGAAGTTAGTAAATTGATTGTCTTTGGGTTTGGATTGATGGTTGCACAAAACAAGTTAATTTATGATGGCACCTGAAGCAATGGGAATTGGTCATTGTTCACAATTTTACAGACAAAACAATTAATAATCTAAAGAATGATCGATAATGAAAGGAATTATGAAAAGAAAAAAGAAAAATACAGTTTCCATGATTTCTTTAATGTTGATCGTCAGACCTAAAGATCAGCTATGAAAAACATATCTAGATGTTGCATCGAAGGCTCTCCTACCTGAAATGAGGGAGTTTCTTTGAAGTGGACTCTTTTACTCGGAGCAGTTGAGGGCCAGAGCTCCATTGCCTCCTCCTGAGGGCTCAGATCCTCCTCGTCTGGCTGCTTTGGGCTTCTGACTTCCAAGGCCCCGACTTGTTTCCCACATTGCATGTGGGTTGACTCTGCAAGAACAGGAGTGATGTTGAACGCACATACTGTATAATAGACTTTAACGCAAACATCATCTAATTCACCTTTACTGGGGTTCATGAAAAAATTAACTCTGATTTGCTCTCAAACAGAACAATCTGTCAGGGCTCTGATGTTTACAGTCTTTGCTTGCTTTTCTGGAGATGATTATCTTTGCCAAGATGAGCAGTTGGCAACATAGAGTGCAGAGTTAGAGATGAGTGGGCCATGTGCACCCACATATACGCACAGAGAGCGTAGGGACCTCTCTGAGGTGACTGTAACTGAACAGATAATGAATTAATCCCTTAATCCCTGACCCAATCATTCGCTTATTCCCATGGAGTTCTCGAGCAGACACTGTGTCTGGACCCGTGGCAGCTTCCACTAAAGTCAGAATGAATTCACCGCTGGATAGAGAAATATAAGACATCTTTAGAGTGCTCTGCTCGTTCTCTCGCTGCCTTGTCGCTTTCTTTTTCTCCCCGCTTCTCATTTTCTCTGTAAAACCTGAAACTCAGACATCTGGCATAAGCAGATAACACTGTGACAACTGAGAATGAATAATATCCATCCTGGGAAGAGAATTAAGTCATGTCCTCTCTTAAGGAGAAAACAAGGACTACTGCTAAATCAAAAGTGTAAAAAGAAAGGAAACTGGCTCATCTGCTTTAAGCTGCAGGTGGAAGAAGACAGGTTTGTCCACATGCGCAGATAAAAGATACAATAACTGACTTAAAGCAAGAAAACATTAAGAATAAAACCGAAAAACACAAAGATGCTGGATTATTTGTCTTCGGTAGGAAGGTATTCTGTTGGATTGTCATCACGCTGGCATTAAAAAGGGAAAAATGACAAAATAACCTACCTAGAGTCACATCTCTGTGCGGCGTCTGTGCACCAGAGGATAAGTCCCGGGAGTATTTACACAGACCTGCCAACTCTTACACAACTGCTGCCGCACAGTCCGAGTCAACTAACCTTCCTTTTCAGTCTCATCCTCTATTCTCTCTCTGCCTCCCGTCACGTTTATGTCAATAGTCTCCAGCATTCCTGACATCCCGAAGATCACACAATAGCATCTGAAAAGTTAGATATTGTATAAAGTTTTGAATTTTCTTTTTTTGACCAGAATCCACAGAGGATGGTGATGCTCTTAAATGAATAAACAGCTGGGAAATGAACTGATAATCTCTTTCACCATATTGAGGTCTGACATCCTGCCGTCATTCTCTTCCTGCCAAAGATCTACTCTGTTCCCAGCTTAACCAGCTGAAGTGACTCACATAATCTCCCAGCACATTGTGGCAACTCTGTAGCATGAAATCTAGAGAGATGAAAAACTGCCTGATTAATCTCACACAGGGACATAAAGCAGACTGCAATTACCCGAGAGAACAAGAGGGCGGCTAAAAATACTCCTGCAAGCTAAGACTCCGCTGGCCTAATATGGAAACACAGGCCCTGGTGCTGCTGGTGAGTCGGCACCAGAGTGTACGCTCACATTTGTTGACAAAGCTGGGGAAGTGCAGGTTGCATTTACATGAGCTGATTTAACACTCTGGGAGCGCTATGAGCTTTTCAACACAAACACCACCGCAGGCCCCTTTATAACAGGAACCTCTTCCAGGAGGAATATTTATTTTGTTTACACCTCATTCCGAATGCCGTGCCTGTCTTTAAGACTCGGGAGACCTTTGTGTGTGACGGGGCAGGTCTGCGTTGTGAATCCCGCACCGAAGGGGGGGACTCAGTGCCTTTTAAGAATTAATGGGATGCCATGGCAACTATCGCTGCGATGAGCCCCGGTCGGGATGCTGAGCTCCAGCAGGCCTTTGTAGTCATTAAGACAAAATGTCAGGCGGAGGAGGGCTGGCAGTGGATGAAAGCCAGTTTGTGTGTGTGAGTCAACATGTATTTCAAGGAGAGCATAGTCTCCGTGTGCCTCAACGTGTCCGTCTTCATTTACATTTGCGTCGCATCCTTGTGAATGCGTCGCTGTAGCAGCAGATCGAACAAAGCAAATCCCTGTGCGTGTTGGGATATCCTTCCCATCTCTGGCCTCGTCTCACCTGATTGGATATAGAGCGTGGCGCTGCAGGACGCTCTGCCTGCCGCGTTGACAGCTGTGACGCAGTACGACCCCGCGTTGTTCGACCTCATCTGATTTACCGCCAGACTGTGCTTCTCCCCGTCAGCCTTAACCACATGGAACGCATCGCTCCGTATCTCCACATTATTCTTCCTCCATGTCACTGAGGAGGCAGAGAAGAACACACTCACACAGATGACAAACATAGTAAAACCTCCCACAGAAAAGCAGATAAAGCACAATCCACCATACAAAGATAAGTAATGAATAAAGCTCATCAGTTTTGGTTCTACTGAAAAAGACTTGATGGATTTTAAACATATTGTCAGTTGTACCTGTGGGAGGCGGACTCCCGGTGATGACGCATTTAAGCGTGACCGCCGAGCCGTTGGATGCCGGGGTGTCCACAAGAGTCCTCTTAAACCTCGGGCCCTCAGCTGGCTCCTCGTCAGCAGAAAGGTCGGAGTCATCAGACGAGGCCCCTGGAAACAACAGGTCAGGCTTAGGTGTCACGGCCTGTTTGCTGTTACCTGGTTTCATAAATAGGTCAGGCTTTGTTTTTTGGGGTCCCCATGTGAAATGAGTTCTATCAATGAGTCTGAGCCCCGCGGTGGGTATTTGATTCATTTTCTTTACAGACAACATGATGGATACATGTTCTACTTTATTGTTCAGTTTATTAGTTTGAAGTGATCATTCTTAAGTTAAATCCTAAGGGATTTTCATTTACAGTAGGTATACTAGGTCACCAAAGATCCATAAACAAAGGTGACATATTTCTGTAAGACATAACATAACACCAACCCAAACTAACCCAACTATCCTGAATGTGTATTTAAGCAAAACATGTTTTTCCTCTTTCCTAATTGTTTAATTATCTCATAACCCCTTAAATTAATCTAGTAGGTTAGGAACCACTCACTTAGGCTAATAGAGCTGAAATGCTACTCTACACATACTTTTCTATAACCCTTAGAAATATAAAAACCAAGACAGTGATTTTGTTCATTAACTTTGGGGCAGTTTAAGTAGTTGTGGATCCAGCAGCTTGTGGCCATTAAAGGGACCACGTCAATTCATGTGCTTTGGTTTCAACATTCATCTGTGGTGGCTGCTGCTTGTGTCGACTTAATTTAGATTTTTACAAAGACGCTTATCAACAATCCTCATACAATACCTTCCTCTGGAGACCTGGGTTGAACAGAACGCCCTTTCTGGCGAACTTTCCCCTCTTTCCTTCTGGTCTTGCTTCTCGCGTTGCACCTGTCTGCAACACATTCTGTCTCCATGGGTTCGTCCTCCACCAGGATAGTGGGGATGTTCACTCTCATGGCTGGAGACGTCCACCCGGCCTCCGCCTTCCTCCTCTTCACGAGAGGGCTGATGGAGGGAGTGGGTGATGGGGCGAGCCGGGGGGGCTTGGGTGGGTACTGGGACCCTGGTTCCCTCACAGTTAGTGGGGAGGCTCTCTTCCCATTCGGGCTTGGTGCTCTATGGTCTGCTTTGTTGTCCGTCCGAGTCTCCCTCTTTGAGTCCGTTCTCAAATCTCTGACGGGAGACGAGGATTTCTGCGACGTGGTAACCAGTGCGTCTTTGTCAGCTCCCGCAGAGTTTTGTAGACTTTCCCTGTGTCCAAAGACAAGAAAACTGCAATATTGACAAGTATGAATATTAGATTTTGAGTAGTGTAAAAATGAATATCATTTGTCCAGACCTGTTGACAAATAACTAATCTTACAAAGAAAAATAGACAAGAAACGTGATTAAAAAAAAATAAAAAATCCAAACCTGTTGAGGCTTTTTCTCGTGGCTGTTGGCAATGGTTGCCCTGGTAACTGGTGAACTGGTGCCGTCTCCATGGTAACAGAGATTTTTTCTGTGCGTCCGTGTGACGAGGCCTCCACCGGCATCCCCCGTGAATCTGGCTGTGTCATCTTACTCTGTTCAGGGTTGTTACTTTGGTTCCCCGGGCCTTTGTCGCGCGCCTGTGGAGAAATCTGCAATCTGGCGTCCCCGGCCTTTCCGGCCTCCAGGGCTCGCTCCCTTGCCTCCAACTTTTTAACCACTTGGGGAGGAATGGGCTCTAGCTTCCCCATGGTGAGCCTCTCTTTCTGCGACAGCTGCTCAGTGGAATAAGCCTTCTTCAAGCTTGGTTTCCCCACAAGTTTCTTGATCCTTTGGAGCTCTTCGGCAAACTTGCTCTGGTAGCTCTGGACCCTCTGGGAGTAGCTCGTCTTGTCCTCTAAAGAAGAGGCTCGTTGCTTGAACGCCGCTCGCTTCTGCAGGATTCGGTCGTCCTGTTTGCCGGGGCCTCCTGTCTTCTTTCCGCTGTCGTCCGAGTCGCAGGAAGCCGCTCGTCCTAATCTAGAACCTGATACAGATCCGACTCCTCCTGGCAGATCAACACTAGCCCTTCGTTCCTCAAAAGCAAGGACCTTGTCAAAGATCTTGGGCCCAGCACGAGCCAGTTTGGGCGTCATGATAACACTGTTGACACTTGACGCCTGCTCTGTCTTAGAGGATTGGGGATCTGAAGGTTTGGTTTTATGGTCTTGGTCTGGGGTACTGATGCTGTTTTTGTGCGTACTGGGAGGTGGCTGGGGAGAAGACAGGGGGACACGGGAGGAGAGCCCCTGTGATTCGTCAGCAGTTTGAGTCCTAGAGGAGTGAGGATTAAGGGGAAATGGAGGTGTGAAGTTAGAGCTCTGGTGCAGCTGCCGTAGGCTTTGGGAGAGTAATAAAGAAGCAGATGAACGTCCATTTGTGTCATTTTGTCTTATGTTTTTATATTCCCCAGTGAGTTCCTTGTGTTTTGTCTGTGCTCTGACAGTGTAAAATGAATTGGCAGAGAAAGGAATAAAAATAAAACAATGTCACCCACATGTAAGATTTTAAACGTTCCTCAGAACTTAACCTAACTGCGGTGAAGTGGAAGACACCATAAGACAGTAATAATTGGAAATTGTAGGCAATGTTGCAGCAACAAAACTCACGACATGAAATAAAGCTTGCTGCTTTAACTTTAAATACAAAAACATGCCTAAAAAGAACCTGTGAATCACATGATCATTAATTCGTGAGAACATTCATGCTAATATTAGCTCGGATCAAAGCCAGCAACCCATGCATGCCACAGCAAACCTATAAAGATATGGTGTTAATCCAAAAGGGAGGGGCCGCTCTACAAAACATGCAGTGGGTAAAAAGAGTAATCACAGTTTTCAGAAGTGCTGAATAATACATATTAGCAGATTGTACCATCGTGTCCTCTCTAATGGCTTTAAGAAATATTAACAATGATATTTTTTAAGACCTGTAATCATCGTTAGATAGAAATCAAACCACACTCACAGCAATAAAAATCAGAGTCGAAGGAAAGTGTGATATCAAAATAAAAATGGGAAGTAACAAAGCTGTATGAAAAAAGCTTGAATATATGAAATAAGAGTAAAAAAAGAGTCACTCATGTAACTTATTACATATGGAGTACATTTTTGCGAGTTGGGTCTATGTAGGATGCAATGTCTTGTCTTATGTGTCAGTTTTCTTTGCGATTTGGGGTTTGTGGCCAGACTTTTTCGTTTTTTTAGTGGAATCCTAAAAATGAAATGCCATGTGCTATAACGGCATAGAAAATGTCCTCCCTCTGTAGAGGCTGAACATGCTCCCATAGTAGTCGCTGCCGACAGAAACACTTTCCTCCGAGCCCTGAACAGGCCGTGCCAGGTTAGCGTGAGACGCCCGGATCAGCGGTTCCACACCCAGGTGACGGACAGGGGGGGCCCCCTCAGCGGGAGCCCCACCGAGGGCTTGCCTGGCAGGGTTTGTGGGGTCCAAGTGGAGCCCCGGAGGGCGGGAGCCCAGGGCGCGGAGCTCTCGCTCCACCACAGGGTCATAGGCACCAGGGAGGGTGGCCCTGCGATCTGAAGGGTCTGGGTTATAGTCCATCATCCCGCCTCCCTCACCTGGAGGGAGGAGAGAGAGAGAGAGAGAGAGAGAAACAGAGAGAGAGACAGAGAGAGAGAGAGAGAGAGAGAGAGAGAGAGAGAGAGAGAGAGAAAGGAGTTAGTGTGGGTCAGTTACTTAAACAGGAGTAAATGGTGTGTTTGTGAGGGTTTAAAAAAAAGGAAGAAGCATAAAATGTATAAGAAAGCATGGACAAGAAGGGGGCCAATTGTCTGTATTATGTATTATTACCATACTATATCCCCAAAAGAATGTAATTAATTAACTGAACGATTCAGCAATACAAAGAGGAAGAATCCTGAGCTGGTAGAAAATGATACTGGCATAAAGCGGTGTGCAGGAACATGCACTCAGCATAAAAAGGGCAGGATGGATCAAGACTCTATTGATCGCTAGGAAACAGGAAATGAAACAGAACAGAGCGTGCACCACTTAAAGGGATCCTCCCCCGTCGCAAATCAGGTAATGATTGACATTTAGTGATGAGCAAAGGAGACAGAAATGCTTTGGCAGCGAAAAGAAAGAGCGGTCAGCATCTTCAGTTAACGACGGAAACCTTGAAACAGCGATGGTGTCGGGGATGTAAAACGACAGACTGCAAATACAAATAATAGTGACTCAGCGCCACAATCAACAAACTATATCAGTTCCTCTTACAGCAAAAAAAATAAAAATTTTAAAAATCGTTCAGGGGGGCCACTGAGGAATATATTACACATTTCAAAGCCTTGACATATTGAGCTTCAAAATCCAGTTTTCTTTTCTCTGCAGAAGCTTTCATTTTTACTCGGAAGGCAGAACAGCAGAACAAGCTTTTAGTGCCGCGTTTTGACACGAATGGACACATCATTTTCACAAAGAATCTTGTCTTATTTGTCCGCTGGATTCTAAACAAGATCCTTCTGGACACAAAAGTGAATCTCCTGCAGAAATGTTTAACGAGGTGGCATTCTGGTTTTTGTATGCAGCTGAGGCAGCCAGAATCAGTTCCAATAGAAGATAGCAAATGATGCATCACCTCATCCCTCCCTCATTTGATATTCTCTTTCTATTCTTCGTTTTTTGTTGCTTGTCTCTGGAGGGACGTGATGAGGGCGTAGTCAGCCCGCCGACACGAACGCTTAGAAAGTGCAAAGAGCGAGAGAAGAATATAAAATGTCTTCCCGGTGGAGGAGAAGGGTGTCAATATTTCTGATCTATATTCAGACGTCCTGTTGCCGGGCTGGGAGCGAGCAGTGGGGGCATGCAGGTTCTGGGACGCCAGTCCCCCAACACCACTTCAGCAAATGAGTAAAGACTCTTTCAGGAATTCTTTTGACCTGTGTAACGCTGACAGGAAGAGACTCATTAGGTTATAACTTGGAAACGTCTTCCATTGAAATCGTTTTACATTTGCATTTCTAGACAATTGCATTAAGAGATCACGAGTAAGTGAATCAATAGTTGGCCCCTTTCTTGTAAAAAATGAAATGAGGTCTTTAGGCTCAATTAGATTTGGCTTAAGTGTCATATTAGAACAAAAGGGTTGATGGGACACCGCGCTATACAATGGCTCCTCCATTTTTAAATACAAGACGCATTATGACTTTGCTTCTGTTGGCAGAAAATGCTAAATGTCAGAGTTCAGCAACAACTTTGAACTCTGACTTGAAGATCTGCTGGAGTCATCTGAACTCACACTGACAGGGAAGCCATTTAATGAAAGACCTGTGGAAGGGTGACCAAACCTTTAGACTGCAATTACAGAACTATCGAAGAATATGAAAAACCGCAGGGCTGCAACTAACTTCATTAATCTGCTGTTGTATTAAATATATGTTGTTATAGAAAATAAGATACAAAACAGAGAAAGTTGCAAATCCTCACAGCTGGAAGAAGCAAATGTTTTACGCTTTGACTCATACAAGTAGCTCCATCACAGCTCTATCCAAACTAAATGTACACACAATAGTAAAATAATTGTTTACATTCGCTTCAACCTCATTCTTCTCAGTTTCCTACGCTGCATGTCCCCTGTGGAGCCTCGCAGTGAGATCCAGACCTGAGACAGGTTCCTTGCTGAAAGTAGGGCAGTGTGTCACGCTGTTGCATCACACCAAGAGGGATTCATGCATTCTGCCATATCGGATTTTATCCAACGCATGTTTCGGGCCAAGCTGATAACCACCCTCTGTTAAATCTATCAAACCGCATTGAATCACAATTTTGTAGAAGTGTGTATTTGGCAGTGATGTTGAATCATATTGACTATAAATAAGGTTTGAGGAGCTAGTGAATATGTGCATGCCGTGCTTTAGATGAAATACCTGAAGGTCCTCTCCGTCCAGCCTTGTCTTGGTGCCTCCCGGGCCCTTCTTTGGTTTCCATCTGGGGTTCTGTGGTCTCATCCTCTGTGTTCTCAGAGTCTGAAACAACGGGAAGTAGAGCACAATGATGAGTTAAGATGGAGGAAGACGGTGGAAATTCAGGAAAGAGAAACTGAGGTGGAGGAGAAGAGGAGGCTGAAGACAACAACGGAGTCTCGGTGAAAATGACATTTCACGTTTGCTTAGCGGCACAGAGTTTGATGGCGCCTTGAAAGGAGCCGCGGAGGGCCCCCAGAGGGAAATAAAATGGGTTGAAGCTGGAGCGTGACATGAAGCCAGCTGTGGCTCACAAAAATACATGGCTGATACATGGAGGGAGGGGTATGTATGGATGCTCTCTCCTCGGGTCTGGAGCCATTTGACTTTGGTAAGAAAACAGCAGGCTGATCTTAGTTTCCTTCGTTAGACTGAACGCTTTGTTCCTCTCATTTCTATTGTTTCTATAAATATGTCGCCTGCTAAAATCATTGCTAGCACCCTTCTAAAACACAGTACCTCTTAATGAAGCCTAAAAATAGCACAAAATATTAAGAAAATTACAGAGAAGCGGGTATTAAAAATTGTCTTTTTACATCATGACTCCAAACCAAACTAAAATGTGTCTCGATGGCATAATTATGAGATGATTACTGTGTAACCGTTTCAAAGGCTCCGTATCAGTGAAACGACATGAAGTGAAAATGACAATAAATGGCAGATAGTCACAGCAACTGAAATCACAAAAATGTAACAAAAGACGGACAGGGGCCAACATTTGATCGTGGTCTCGATTATATAAGGAACAAATACAGATGTAGACAAATGAAATATTACGGAGCACTGATCTCTCGAGGGAAGAAAACACAATGAAGGGAAGTGGACGGAGAGAAACAGAAAGCACAGAGACAGTAGGGTCACAGCAAACCACATCTCTGTGGCTGAGATCACGTCAGCGGGGTGAACGGATGAAGTCAAACGGGGATGGATGGGAGGAAGAAGAGAGAGAGAGAGAGAGAGAGAGAGAAAGATGAATCAAAACAGGCAGGTTTACCATAGCTTTGCTTTCGGCAGGAGCGGAAAACTTCACTTCCATAGTGGCAGCAAGAGAGGGCAGACGGGAGAGCACCGTTACTATGGAAACCAGCATCTCTCTCACCCACACGACCAATCCTCTTCGTACCCATTAGAGTCTAAAAAGTCAGCAGCCAAACTGCTGGGTGGCTGACAGATACGTTTACTGGTTAGAGAGCTGGCGAAGGAGGACGACGACAACCGCAAAATAGGTTGCAGCTCATTGCGCCTCACATCAAGTCAGATCCTGATTAGATAATTCCAGAAGCTCTGCCTAATGATGAGAGAGCCAGAGTAGTAGGAACAAAATCACCATCAACTCATTACAGGAGCGCTACTTCCTGGGAGTGGGTATGTAGATCCACCCATCTGTGTCAAATAGCTTGCACAGCGGGCGCGGGGAATCGACTCAGCTATGTAATTATGAGGGAATGTATATATCACCTTGTATGGATTGTATTGAAATGTAAATATGATTTGGAGGGGAGTACAGCGAGCCTCTGGTTTGGCTTGATGGCGGATTGAACAAATATTATAACATAAATCATCGAGGCCACATATTATTCACTCAAGCATTTTATGCAGAGAGGCAACAGCGTGATTACAAAAATATTGCTTTGTGGGGGTGGATGTACAACAATAAAACCCACTCTCGTAAGCAGTAAAAACATATAAATACAATAAAGCAATTTACATGTTCTACAACAGCAACTTTCATATATAAAAGCGTTATGAGGAGAATAAATCAAAGTGAAGCAGATGCTGTCGAAGGCTAAAGACAATACAGAAAATCATAAACCTACAGATTTCTAACAGAAACAACCGAGAGAATAGAGTAGATTGGGTGTGAAGCTTATACTGACAACACACCATGGGTAAATCTGCCAAATGTCCTCGTGGAATGCCCAGTTCTCTGAAACAAGATACAAAGTACAATGTATTATTCAGCAGCAAACACAGCCAAAGATTCAGTTATACACAAAACACCACAGTGAAAACTGCAAAGGTCCCTTTTGCCCAAAATCACTGTTGTTGTCACACCCTAAACTCTAAGTAGAAGGTGTGATAACTTTAAACATGCTGGATTCGTAGTAGAATTTGTCGCCGCTTAGAAATCACCAATGTGGACGAAGAAATGTGCACACATCTAGAGTTGACTGTATGGAAACTGCATGGCAAGAAACGTTAGATATCATAATGGCATCTACTGGTGTATTCCTGATGCGTCACAAAAATAATCTACAAACCAAAAGATCCACCTGTTTTTGGAGCTTTCTCCAAAAAAACATGGCCCTCACAAAGTCCACTCTTCAAATGTCTAGTTTTGTCTGACCAACAGTCCAAAAATGTATTTGGTTTATTGTGAGAAAAGACAAAGAAAAGCTAAGAAAAATGACAACTGCTTATTCATTTGGTGTTGTCGGTTGGTCTGAATGCAGGGAATATTTTTCCACTTAAGTGTCAGTCAAAGAAAACTTCAATAACTACATTTCTTAGTTTTTTTAATCTCATTTCGTTTGAAGACATGAATCTAGAAAACAGACGTCTGAAGCACTAGAGGATGATATGATCATATCAGGATAAAAATTCAGCTGAGAGTTGATAAATGGAGAATATTGAATCTTCGCCCCGGCCACATCTATAATCACAGATGAATCCCTAAAATGATAAATATCTGAAACTCTCCAGGCCATTCTTCCAGCGAGTGTCCCTGCTGATAAAGCAGTTGGTGGAACTGCTTCTTGGACAGTCTGTCAATCAGCACCGAGCAGACCTCCTCAGAGTGACTCACTGCTTCGCAGCAGATGGAAAGCGAAAGTAGCAAAAGTGTGAAATTAAATGACTCATTTCACCCTCATTTCCCCCCACGTCTGCTGCGCACTCAACCATTGGTTCATCTTCTTTTCTTTTGTTGAGTGTCAGGCAATTTGATTAACTGTTGCCTGGTGGTAACTGCTGTTTGACTCCACTAGAAGCTTCCATTCATGTCGTGATCTCCATTGTTATGGCCTCAAGGCAATCATATCAGCAAAAGCCAGCCACAAACTGCATCCGTTTGAAATGGCTACATTTGGCAAATCCTTCAAAAATATTCACTGGGTATAATCCAAATCCTACCAGCATTATTCTCACAGATCGGCTGCTGGAAGCGAAAGAACAGGTCTCAAGGGTTTGATACTGATGCAGAATTGAGGGGAGCCAGAGCGCCATCAGAACTCAGCTTCATCCTGAGCTTTGCTCACTTCGGAGCCTTTCTGACTGGCTGCCTTGATTCTCGTGTCTCCATGGAGTGTAGCCTACTGACACACTTCTCATCTGCTACCAATTTGGGAAACCTGTTCTAACAATTAATTATTTATACAACAAAACTGCCACGACTTGCAAGGCGGGATGCATATTTCACAACACAAAAAGGGGATACAGCAGAAGTCGTAAGTGGATTGTTGTGCTTTTTTTTCCATGTCTGTGTGACGGTCTTAAGAGATGATTTTCATGCACTTAGATTCATTTTTTCTACCTGGCAACCGGAGATTTCCTGAGCTGACCTTTGCCACGTTGTCCTGATTTGCCCTCAATTGTTTTTGACAGATAACAGACAACGAAAGTGGAAAACAGGGTATCCATACTTTCACTCTTTTGGCTTTTTCCCCAGTGGTGCTCGGTTGTAAACAATATATTCCTCAGAAAATATTCCTAAAATGTTTCTTTTACCACGGTTATCTGTTACAAATCAGCACATTTGTGTCTTATTTATCAGGTAAAGGGTGTAGCATGACATCCCAATATGTAAACCAATAATCTCTATAAAAAACAACCTGGATATAGCTTTACATCACAATCATTAAATGCATTTATTTTTTTCCATAAAAAGGAGCAAACTCACCTGAAATCTCTTCTTGGACCAGATTTTCTTCATCTCTTCAAGTAGTGCGTCCCGTCAAGCGTGCAAGATTACCTGTGGCATGAGCTCACAAAAACCTCCCCACAACCCGAATAAGCCCAGGGTGTGGCATCATCAAAAATAAATAATGAAATAAAGATTCAAAAAACGGGATTGAGCCGCCTTTTGTGCGTGGGTGTGTTTACTCTCCAGTCTGGCAGCAAGACGGGGAGAAAGAGAGACAAGATGCAAATCAGCCGGAGCCAGGTGTCTTTATGTCTGAGCGTGTATCCGCTGATGTGAACAGCGTCTCTCTGTGACGTAGACGAAGCAATTCTCAGCTGGTTTGTCCAACCCCCCCCCCCCCCCGCCCCTCTCTGCCTCGATCGAGAGCACGCTCAGTGCAAGAGGAGGTGGGGGTTGGAAGTCTGAGCATAAGGGGTGTGCTGTTCTTGAGCGGTGATGAGAGTGGTGAATAAGAGGAAGAGGAGGAGGAGGTGGGACAAAAAATGTATAAAGAGAAAAGAACTGGCTTCAACAGAGCATGTTTCTTATGAGCGGCAGGAGGGAAAGACGCGAGCGACAAAGAGACAGATTGAGGCAAAAGAAAGAGTCAGAGAGAGAAGAAAGAGGGAGAGAGAAGAAAGAGGGAGAGACGTGGACAAAGGCAAGAGATGGAGAGGCAAGAGCTAGAGACGAGGTTGGTGGGGAAAAGATTCACGAGGGAGGAGGCAAAGCAGAGGAGAAAGAGGCATAGATGACTGGAGAGAGGGGATGAAATGTCTAGATGGGGAGGGTTTGTGAAATATATCTCTATTTCCTCTTGAATACAAACAAAAACAACTCCTTACTTCATTCTTACACCCTGTACCTCTCAGTCTATTCTCCTATATTCTTTGTTTTCCTCCCCACAAAACCCACAAGCTCACAATTATGTATCTATAGACCATGTCTGTTAGCTTTAACCAGTGATAGGTTACCCCCGCCTCAAGCCGCCGAAGGCTATTTAGAGCAAACACGTTCTCCTTCTGGATTACAGCATGATGGATGTTACTTATTCCAGGTACATAACAAGCAGCAGCCACAGCCTCAAAACAAGAATCATTTC